CATGTATGGTGTTAAAAATATCCTGGGAATTGAGGTATGTTTTCATGCTTTATGACAAGAACTATTTTATTTCGCTGCTAGATTTTGGTATGAGCTTATATTTTTCTGATGGATTGACTGAAATCTGGTTTATATCTGGATATATAGTGTGGCTACAAAGGGTTCTATGCTCGGAATACACTCCCACTGACACCAAAGACTGTTGACAGCATCCACAAACGGGGTGGAACTATCCTTGGCACATCAAGAGGTGGCTATGTCACTTCCAAAATTGTGGACAGCATTCAGGACAGGGGAATTAATCAGGTATTGTCAGGTTACTGTGTAGTGCTCTGGAATTGCGTGACAGTTTCATCTAGGCATATAACGTTGTCCATGTTATATGATTAGGTGTATATATGGAATTGCGTGACAGTTTCATCTAGGCATATAACGTTGTCCATGTTATGTGATTAGGTGTATATAATTGGAGGGGATGGAACTCAAAAGGGTGCATCAGTAATATATCAGGTACTTAGTTTGGGAAACTGATTTTATACTCATGCAGTCATGCATGCTAAGCTAGGATGGTATCACTTATCATTTCCATTGTTCCATATCAGGAAGTAAGAAAACGAGGCCTTAAGGTTGCAGTTGTGGGAATTCCAAAAACAATTGACAATGACATTCCGGTATACCCTATTCATTCTCAATTTTCTCCTTGGCATCTTACCTAAACTATTTAGCTGGCGTTCTTGTGAAACTGCTTGTTCTGATGATGATTTTGTTTACTTTCTCTAGATCATCGACAAATCTTTTGGATTTGACACTGCTGTGGAGGAGGCACAACGTGCTATAAATGCTGCACACACTGAAGCTGAAAGTGTTGAAAATGGGATTGGTCTTGTTAAGTTGATGGGTCGTGACAGTGGTAAGCATAAATATTTGACCAAACATTTTCATTCACTAAAAAATTTGAGAAAAGAATATGAAATCATGGACTTAATTCCCTTTTCCTTTGAGTAGCACAAAGAAATTGATCTTATGACATATAATTCATCCTGCAGGGTTCATTGCAATGTTTGCAACCCTTGCTAGCCGAGATGTTGACTGTTGCTTGATTCCGGAATCACCCTTCTATCTCGAAGGGCAAGGTGGGCTCTATGAGTTCATTGGTAGACGACTTAGAGAAAATGGCCACATGGTTATAGTCATAGCTGAAGGAGCAGGTGAGAAGGTAGAAGAAAGAGACCCTTCTGGAAATAAGGCTTTTAAAGATGTTGGTCTCTGGTTGTCTCACATGATCAAGGTATGAATATCTACTTATACCCTATCGAAGTCAATGATGTATTTATCTACACAACCTAACTAGATTTTGTTTTTCTTTAACAGGAACACTTTGCTAAGACAAAATTGAACATAACTCTTAAATACATAGGTTAGTCTTGTATTTTTGTTTCTTTCAGCACTTTTGTGTTTTTAATGTACCAAGTGCTAGACTGCTAGGCTAAACTTATAAGCAACTGATTAAGATTCTCTGATCTCATGATATTTGAAATCAGACCCTACATATATGATCCGAGCTGTTCCTGCTAACGCATCAGACAACGTGTACTGTACAATTCTTGCCCAAAGCGCGATTCATGGGGCTATGGCGGGTTACACAGGTTGTACTGTTGGTCCAGTCAATGGCAGACAATGTTACATACCCTTCTACGTAAGTTTCTCTTATTTGAAGTTATCTTCCAGAATGATATTTTTTTCCTTTACATTATAGGAGGGCTAATGCACATATCACTGAGTGGATTAAGTAGTTTGGGAGGTTTGAAGGGGCATATGTTGCTATGTCCTGAATAATTAGGGGCCATTTTTGGAAAGATAAAAGAGTGAGAGGGGATACTTCATCTCAATAATACTCGTAGTATGTAGTACTTATCTAATCTTCTCTGATAATTGCAGCGAATTATCGAGAAACCAAACAAAGTTGTGATAACAGATAGAATGTGGGCTAGGCTTTTGTCTTCAACCAATCAACCGAGCTTTATGCATCCTCCCAAGGGCGCGGTTGTTGCAGGAAATAAGGACGAGATACTACTATCCAAGTCTTCTGCTGAAGAGTCAAATGAGAACGAAAAGTGTGCACCATCACCAACCTCGTCATCAACCCTTGATAATCATGTCAATGATCTGCATTCGTTGAACAATGGATCCACCCATCCGATGCTAGAGTAAAGTAGTTTTCAATATTTTTTTGAGATTCTGAAAACTTCCACTGTTTTAAAGGAACAGAGGAGATGCATAATAATCAGTCACCTTGGATTCGTCCTACATTAGTGTTCGTCTAATAGTAGGAGATCAGATGCCACAATATTGTTTTCAACTAGTATTTGTGCCCTTTGTAAAAATTGAAGAGTGAATTGGTCATGTACTTGTATTTATATTTGGAATATAATCTATCCCAAAGTCCCAAACACATTTTGTGTTGTAGTTGTAGAAAGCTCGAAGTTCCTTATCATCTTGTTTGAGGTCAATAGTACTAACTTTTATGTGTATTGTGTATTTTAGAATTAGGTGGCAATTGATAAATTCAATATGATTTTTCATTTTTGTTAGAAGTGGTAGCTAAGTGTGAAGAAAAAACAAACTTGAACATGTAGTTAAAAAAAAAAAAAATCTTATCATTCAGAGTTCCATATAATACTCCAAAAGGTAAGTAATCCAAACAAGATAGAAATGGTCAATAGGCCAGCAAAGACAAATTGGACAAGTAAGAAACTAACCAATTATAAATGTAAGAAAGTAACCAATTATAAATGAAATTTTATGGTCCCCAAAAATCAAACACAAGCTCTATCTATATTCCTCGCAATTTTTGTTCCATTGAAGAACAAGAAACCGTTAGAATGTTAGATTGCGTTGGGGTGCAAATGAAAATGATACCCATTATAAACAGCACGATTGGGGGTAGGGATGACAATTTAATCCGAGTTCGATTCGAAGGAAAAAATTCGATTCGAATTTGTTTAAAATTAGTCCGAATCTGAATCCGATAAAATAGATCCGAATCCGAATAGGAGGTGAATCGGACTTGGACCCTACGTAAAGTCCGACAGAGTCCGATCCGAGTCCGAGAGTATAAGCATATGCTCTATAACTTGGGACAATTATTTACTTGTTGTGTAGCAAAATTTTGTTTTTTTTTTTTTTTTTTTTTTTTTGACACAAGCAAAATTTTGTTATGTAACTTAGTTTATAATTTAAATATGTTATCTTTATACTTTAATTGGTATGACAATACAAGCAAGGTATATGACATTACAAAAAATAAAAAAATAAAAATATTCGGACCATTACAAAGGTCCGAATAAACGGACCGGATTCGGATCCGAAAATTACGAGTCGGATCATATTCGGACTCGGATCCGTATCCGAGTCCAGGGTCCGTTTACTAAACGGATCGGATTCGGATTTAGCCACATCCGACCCGAATCCGATTCGTTGCCATTCCTAATTGGGGGGAAATTGAAGATCCCATTTGTTAGGGGTGAAAATCAAACTCTTCCACAAAGTCATATATGTGAAAGGAGGGTCTCCGACGATATAAAGTTGAATATAACGAGAATATGTGGTATATGTTCTGACCTAGCTTCTTGTTAAAACTTTGACCAATAATAATGGTATGTTTGTTGAAAAGTTGAATCTCATTTTGTTAGTTGATTTTGACTAGTTGATTATATTAATTGATTTGACTAACTTATTTTATTAGGTGATTGTATAAAAGTGTTTGGTAAATAACGGATTGGTTAAAGTGGTGTAAGTATATGAAAGGACCAATAAACTAATTGTGAAGGTAGGTAGTGTGGTTGGATATTAATTTTAAATGGGGTATAAGTGTCATTTCAACGTAAGATATTGAATAAGCTAATTGAAAAGGCTCCTAATATGAGCTTTTTGAAAAACAACTTATTTAGGGTTCGTTTGGCATCACTTTGGTTTTCTGTTTTTTGGTTTTTTATTTTTTTAAATCATATGATATATATCATGTAATGAATAAAAAATTAGTCAAATTTATTAAAATTATGATAATTTTGAAAATTGACAACCAAAAAGTGGAAACACCTTTTTCTTGTTTCCTGTTTCCTGTTTTTGGTTTTTAGTTTTTTAAAAAAATAGAAAATTGAAAACAAAAAACAATGCCAAACTAGCCCTTAGTTTAATAAGCTCTTTAAATAAGCTTTCCATCAAACACCTTGAATTAGATTATTTAATAGTCAAAAAAAAAAAAATTGTCAATAAGCTAATGTTGGTCAAATAAGCTAATTTTGCTCAAATAAGCTAGTTACGGAACACAACCAATATTTTTTTTCAAAAATATTTAACTCTATTTCTTATCAACAATTACTTTGATTTAGCAATATTAATCTCATATAACCTACAATAATGAGGACAATGTCCGAACTAGTCCATATCATTATTAAAAGTTTTCACAAGAAGCTTGATCTAGTAGGAAATACTACATGTTCAACTTTGAGGTTGGAGGAATGGGGGTTGAATCTAAGGTTCTAAGCACATTGAGGTGAGGGATCCCTTTTTTGTTCCCCTCACTCTTACAATGTCTAACCCACAAATACTATACCCCCTTGCTAGCATATTAAAAAAAACGTAAATATTGATGTCTGGTCAAAATCTATTTTTCATACTTTACACAAAAATATAAATAAAAAAAAATCCATACTTTTATACTACCTTAATTTTATATTATTTGCAACAATCAGACATTTTTCCACAGTACTTTATATCAAATCATTGCAAATAATATAAAAAGGAAGAAGTATAATCTGACAATCAAGTTTAACATGGTCAAATTAACCACAATCCTATAATGTTAGACGGTACACTCAAGACTCAAGTCACTTGACCGCGCACCGTGGCACCATCCTAGCTAACCCATTGGCGCCCGAAACAGCCTAGCACATCCTAACACTATCCACCTATCCTAGTTCAATTGTGACACCCTTGTTTCCAATCAAATAAAACACCAAACACTTTGTTGGGTTCATAGCTAAATTAGAATTCTGTAAATTTCTCTCTGCAAAAATCAAGGATCAAACGATGACGATACGTTTCGTGTTAATGGTGAACAAACAAGGCCAAACTCGGCTAGCTCAGTACTACGAGTACCTCACTATCGACCAGCGCCGTGCTCTTGAGGGTGAGATCGTCCGCAAATGCCTCGCTCGCAACGATCAACAGGTCTCTCTCTTTTTCCTTTTGTGATCTCTCTTTACTATTTTTAGATTTAGCTCAGTTTTGTTGGGAGTAATTTTGATCAATTTTGTGCTTTTTTGTGTATTGGGTCTTGCAATTTATTATTCATCTGAGCATTGTGGGTCAAATCTGATTGTGGGTAGTTGTTAATTTTGAATTTTTGTTGTTTTTGATGGATTATTGATCTTGTTCATGCTTCTATTAACGAGCATTGATCTGGGTGTTATTGAAATTGGGCTTATTATGGAAATTTTGATCAATTCTGGGTTTTTTCTGTGATGGTTCTTGTAATTTGTCATCCATATGAACAAATTGGATTGCGGGTAGCTGTATACTTGAATTTGAATTTTAGGTTTTCCTCTTATTTGTTGTGATTTATGATCTTGTTTTTTCTGTTACTAATTTTGGGTGTTTAGGGTTTTGGATCCCCTTTTTGCAGAATTTAATGGCTGTTTGATCCTTATTGGAATTGCAAGGAAATGTTTTTATTGTGGATTGTGACTTTGTGAGTATGACTTTTTATCATACATAAATAACAACAGAAAGCTTTAAATTTGCTAAGCTGAAGTGTGCAATTTGAGTGTTTGGAGGTGTTCTCTGACCTTGTTTTATTCCTGCATTGTGAAAAAACCAGCTATCTATGTGATTTTTATTTTTTGTTAAGTTAATAATTTATGTTGTATCAAAGGTTTTAATGTTGTTTCCCCTTGTCTCGAATTGTCTAGTGTTGGTTTAATACAATATTTTTTTAGCAATTTGATTATTCGCATAATATGAAAATCGTTCTTACTAAAGCAGCTGATTTAAAAGAAAATTAAATTTGTTCTACAAGTGAGTTTGTATTGACCGTGCTTGCTTCTGGTTTGACACATTACTAAACAAGCAATCCTCCCTTTTGACATGCCAGTGTTCGTTTGTGGAGCATCGCAATTACAAGATTGTATATAGGCGCTATGCATCTCTATTTTTCTTGGTTGGAGTTGACAACGATGAGGTGATTATTTGCTCTCATTTAAGTTTTTTTTGTCCAAATATGTTATTTCTAGCTGTAGCTTTGATATAGCTTGTCGTGTTTTAACCAGCTTAAGGCAGCTTTTTATTTTAGTGCACAGGCATGAATGCATGTGTACGTGTGCATGCTCACTTTTCTTATCACTCTTTTGGGTATCAGGCTTCTTTATAACCTCAAAACCTCTCATGGGTATGGTATCCATGTTATAGGCGGAGTTCAAGCATTTTCTACTTTCAAAGAAAAAAAGGTCTTGAAACCACATTTTAGGATTTCTTAGTTGTCGTTTAGTTGGATGCTTGAATGTAGGAAATTAGACCTTTGAGTGTTTTGTAAGTCTCATGGAGTTCAACTTGCTGAAAACTTGAAAAGTATTAAAACTGTTTGGTTGTAAGGAGTAGGGATTTTTATCAAAAGCTCCACTTACCTTGCCCCAATTTGTGGCAAGTAAAATTCTCCCGTTATTTCCTCAGTTTCCTGCTTTTCACTTGGATTTTGTGCCAAACTGCCAACTAAACACCCGGTCAGACTCCTATGTTATGAATAATTTTCTTGAGTCTTCCATAGTAAGTGTTGTGTTGGTGATTTCTATGTTTTGTGGAGTCTTATTTGAGCAACAACTATACCCTGTGCTGATCCTGTCTTTGTGTTTCAGTATTGCGCTGTTAAAACGTGTTATAGATTAAAATAATTTCCCTCCATCTTTGTTGGGAAAAGGGATCAACTATGTTTCGTGATATCTGTTGATTCTCCTATGATCACAGTCTTATATGATATCTCCAAATTTACATCCCTTCTGCTAGTGTGCTACTCGTTAAATTTGGGTCTGTATACTCTATTGGGGGATGTAAATTTCATCATATGATGATTTGTACATTGTACCTCCAAAAAACAATACAAGTTAACATGTTCTGCAGATGATTTTACTTTCAGTAATCTTGATGTTTTTTCTATCGGAAGGTTGAGGATAGAAGTGTTTTTGTGCTTTGCTGTAAAAAGTGTAAATGCACTCTTGCTGAAAGTTTCTGCGGCCAGCTACGATAGACAGGCTATTGAAGTATGTAATAAGCATTGTCTTTTTGTACATCCATTTTGGTGATTCTTCAATCAGAGGGCATGAAAATAGCTGGGATTGTGTGTATCGGTATTATGTGGCAATCTTGCGCTCTATAATGAAATAATTCCCCGCAACATCATCATCCATTGGGAAGATGGGCAGTTGAGTTTCTTCTCATATCTATGGACATCTCAATAATCATCTTCCCTAAACTATTTTATCCTCATCTCATCTCCTTTTTCCTTTCACTTTCAAACATTATGAGCCTCTTACCTTAGATTTCCTTGCCTGTCAAATTTACCATTCCGTTCTTGGCTTAAGGTCCTCCATAAGAGAGATTATATATAAAATTAAGGTTTAAACTTTGAAGTGAAGATGGAAATATTATGTTATTAGCTATTCTCCAATTTCTTGAATATTGGTTAGTTTATATGTTTAATCTTGCTTGTGTATACACTATACATATGCTGATGGCATTCTATAATACAAAAAAGTTGTACATCTAGGATAAGTGGGTGGTAAAGCAGGGCAAACTTCAATTATCAAAATTTTTTTATTGTCTTTTGGTTTATGTTTGGAATCTGGAATTTATCAACAGCTCAAGCTCAACACTATTTGGCCTACTTATTCCTGTTAAATCCTTGGAATTCGAGATAGATATGAGACTAGTGTAACTTGTGTTTGACTTTTCATCCCCCTCTCTTAATGTTGTAGTATCTTCAGTACCTGAGCTCTTCTGATGCAAATCATAAAACAATTAATTTACTCAAGTCTCGTAGTTTTCATCTTGTTTTAATGTAGCCTGTTGCTTGCAGTTTTTGTGTGTAACGCACTGATGGGGATGCTCTGTGTTATGATTTCTTTGCTTCATAAGTTAACTCTCATCTCAGCATTTAATAAAGTATTTTATTGCTCTCTTATATTTTGCAGAATGAGCTTGCCATTCTGGAGTTCATACATTTATTGGTAGAAACCATGGATCGACATTTTGGCAATGTGGTGAGTGTCATCCTGTATACTTCCTTCTTAAACTTGTATTATCATATGGTCTTTATTCTTGACTTTGATTGCGATAATGCAGTGTGAGCTGGATATTATGTTCCATCTAGAGAAAGCGCATTTTATGTTGGAGGAAATGGTGATGAATGGATGTATCGTGGAGACGAACAAATCTAACATTTTGGCCCCTATACAGTTGATGGATAAAGCATCTTAATTATGTGCCTGGATGAGGTACATTTTAGGCTATATTGTATATGTTGACATTCTTCTTTTCGCCAAATTCACAAAATCAACAGAATGAGGACAGTGCTGTTAAACTTTTTCTCTGTTGTATACTTGTATGTTAACAATCATTAAGTTTGTTACTAAGCCTGTTTTATTTCAAGAATGTTAGTGGAACTTTCCTTTCTATGGAATAGCTGTAATTTTGTCATTCATATGAGATAAAATGAAGTTATGTTATAATTTAAGGCTTATACAAGTCACAAATTTTTTTTTCCCCTGATTATTTTTTTTTTTATTTTTTACACCTGATTTATTATGAATGCAGTCAAATTTTGTAATTTAAAAAAAAAAATTTAAAATGTTTTTGACCATTTGAGGTAGTGTAAGGAAAACAAAAATGCATACTCCAAAGATCATTCCCATATCTTCTATTGCATCAAACAAATAGATTTTGCCTTTGGTGATGCTCTTGGTTATTGCAACTCCTGTGACACCTTTGACAAGTCCAGCCGTTGCGATAATAATAAGCAGGAGAAAGTATTTCTTTCTTCTGTTTCTATTTTCATTAGTTTGGGGCAAAACATGAGTTCAATTTAACATGTTATAATCAACAAAAGCTCCTCAATTATCAAAATTTTCCCAAACATTTTACTACAGTACGGGGTAGTAGATAGCAAAACACAAGCTCTAGAACATATGAGGAAATTGCATGAAAAGAAGTAAATAACTACGCATTAATCAACACATAATGTCATTCCTAGATCCTCTATTGCGCCAAATAAACAATTTTTGCCTTTGTCGATGCTCTTGGCAACTGCAATAGCTCTCGCAACACCTTTAGCTCTGAAGTCGAGTCAAGATAACTACACTTCAACAGCAATTTTTCCAGCACAACTGAGATACCAAGCAAATATTCAATCAATTTGAGCTCCACACTTGAACCAGTAAATCCTGTAATTTTTGCCTTAATGAGTTGTCCAAGCTTATAATTATCGTCATAGTCAAATTTGTGCTGAAGAATGCATTTGTTCGGAGTAAACTGTCCACAATGACAGTAATTTTTTTAGCATCAAAAAACACAGGGGTGCCTTGTATAGACACGGTAATTGAACAAAACTACGAAACTCTTAAAAGTTACATAGGGTAATTTCGACTTCTGCAACATGTTTCATGCTGTAAAACTATGGCTATTATCTTCGAGATCTGTGAGTCAATTCTAAACATATGCTATACAATTAAAGCATAAAATTGGAATACTTACTGATAATTCAAGATCTTTGATATAGGGACAATTTTGAACCATGCTGATTGTGAAACAAAATACATTAAAATCATCCAAGTCGAGTTTTGTCAGGCAAAGCTTTTGCAGGTGATTAAATGTCAGAGTAAGTTTGTTGTTACAACCTGCAGCCAAGAACTTGCATAGCAAAGAGAACAGAGATTATATAAACAGACCAATATATAAAACAAGTATTTTCAAATAATGAATACTATAACAGAAATTGTAGCTTTGATTTTAATATACCTTACAGAGGGTTCCATCCAATTGAAGGTATTCAAGCTTAACTTGTGGAATTGCAAGAATCTTAATAGCGCGAACTGTTTCTAATCTATCTGTGTGAAGTGTACTCCATTCTGGAGAAAGATAGTGAAACGCGCTTCAGATAAGAAGCATTTTTGAAATCCAGCGGCACAAAAGAACCTTGAATAGTTAAGCTTTCAAGGATAGACGCATGTTCAAATTTCAGATCAGAAAAGCCAGTGCAATATTCAAGGCTTAATGTAGTAAGTCGCGGGCAACTTGAGATCAAACTTGTGAATAATCCACCATGTTTAAACTTAACAAGCAGTAGCTTAAGAGTCCGAAGATGAGCAAAGCCCATACAGTCACTTGGTGGAGTGTAATTCAGTTCATAGCAATGCAATTTCAATTTCACCAGCTCACTGCATGCGAAAATACATGAAGGCAGAATGGTTTTAGGTGCGCCACCAAACCCGACAAAATTCGTAAGACTCAATCTCCTAATCCCGGCTCTTGAAAGAAAAGATAACCACTGGCTGAGATTAAGGTTGATGAGTTGAGGATGTTGTGGAACATAAAGATAGAACTCATGTATAGGACCATTGTGATGAAGCAAGATATTACTGATGATGTTGCTGATGTTTTGGTAATCGTAATGTCCACTTATTTTATGTTCTTCCCAGAAAGTATAATCAAAGACAAGGTGCCTAATGGACAGCCAATAACGCCTCCATTTTCGTGATAGCACACTCGTCTTAGCTGCCATCGACAGTGGTAAGCGTTTCAGGATCTTCTCTGCCAAATGAGATGGCAGATTACTGATTAAGTCTTGGTTGGGTTCAGGAATCTTGGTCCTTTTAATATTAGACTGGGAAGAAGCCATTGTCCACTACTTAGAGATTAAACCTGGAATTTGGCTAAGTCTTATAAGATGACTATACAAAATAGAAAGGTGCATTTAGTGTAACACCCAAGTACTACACACAAGTACACAACACCCACAAGGATCGACTACAAAACAATCAACCAAGAACAACCACCCAAATTCAGCACAGATAATCAAGAACATGAATCGATAATTCGATATGGAAGAAATTAAGAAATCACAATGACATTATATATACACGTGGAAAAGAGAAAATACAAGTTTATTTTCATCATGAACAACAATTATTTATCTAGTGGCAATAAAATCACAATGTAGGGCTTGTTCATATTTACTGAACTGAACTGATTGGAGCTGAACTGAACCGAACTGATCTGATTGGAACTGAACTGAACTAAGCTGAAATGAATATTTTATGAGAGAGGGAAATTAAGAGCTGAACTGAACTGAACTGAACTGATTGGAGCTGAACTGAACTGAAAATAAGTTAATATGAACAGGCCCGTAGTGGTTTAGTGCAAAATACCCTTATAATATTACAACTGTGCCTTTAGATTAACATAACAAGATCAATGGGCTCCCCCCAAAAAAACCCTTGATGCATTATGATAAAACTGAGGGCAAAAGAAACCAAACAAGTTTCACAACCCACAAACAAGTACATACATGCATAAGAGAACAACAACTAGAAGAGCAAAAAGTGAAGAGTATCACCAAACATATATAGGGTCACTGTCAAGCAGCAATTCCAGACAAAGCAGAGCTTCAAATGACGATCCAACCGTTCAAGTAGAGGCACTATGAATTCCCAAAATTAGAGAACGATCTAATGGTGAAAGTTTTGTGAAGGTTGTTCTTAAAAAATGAAGCTAAGCTTCACTCAAAAGTCAAAAACCCCTCTCTGCTCCTTAACTCCTTTCTTGAATTTTGATAGGGACCTTTCCCAACAAAGCTTCCAAGAGAAGCCGCTATTTAAAGTCCAAATGAACCAAACTCCTTAAAGGCTTCACCCAAAATTTACACTAGACTTAACACTTGTTAGGGCCCGTTCTCTTCAGCTTAATTTTAGTTCAGTTCATTTAAGTTTTTATCTTAATTTTCTTCTCTCATAAAATATTCAGTTCAGTTTAGTTCAATTCAGCTCAAGTTAAGTTAAGTTCAGTTCAGCCAATCAAAACAGGCCCTTACATGTAAGCTAAACCCATTTGAAAGTATTACCTCCGTTTTTTTAGTTGATACGTCTTCATTTTTCTTTAATCGCGTTTATTGATTTATAAGTAATGAAAAATATAATCACGTGAGATTTTATTAGATTTATCACAATATATAGCCGAAATATCAATTTTTTTTATAATTTTTGTTTATCAATAATTAAATACGAATCTATTAATGGTTTAATTTGTACATTGACAAACGTTACCAAAAAAACGTGACAACTTAAAAGAAATGGAAAAATTATTTATTACATGCTCTTTATAAATGTCGTATGACTTTTTATTTATGAATCAATTCTCATTACATAAAATAATATTGTCAATGATCGTTCTACCCTTAACATATAATTCAATTGATTAACAAGGAAAAGTAATCCCTAAATAGTACTAATGGTCTATCCAGAGTTATCAATGGCTTCTTTAAATACAATCAAGCCTACATTAAACTATGTAAATTAATGACATTGACCACATTACTTAACTTCTAATTATCTATTCAACTACCCATGTGATGAACTTCAAACCTTTAATTGGTCTATCCAAACCCAACAAAACCCAACTCCCGTTGCTAATAAAACAATGGATTAAACAAATAGATTTATTCCCATATCTTCTTCAAGCACAAATGGTTATGCATTCACAATCATGAAAGTCCAGCCGTTACAATAATAATAAGCCGGAGGAAGTATTTCTTTCTCTTTTTTTTTTTTTTTTTTTTTTTTTTTTTGAACAAAGATTGATTCAATAATCAATAGTAATTGATTTATATCTTTCTTCTGTATCTATTTTAATTAGTTTGGGGCATATTGCCTTAGCATGGGAGACAGGGAGAGTATTTGTTTTTGAATGTAAGACATAAGTTTGGGGTAAAATATGAATTCAGTACAATATTTTCTTCAGCAAAATTTCACCAGTCTTCAATTCTTAAAATATTCCCCAAACATTTTATACATTGCATTGATATACTTAACATTTCATATAGCAAAACAAAGCTCTTGATCCTTTGAGGAAATTGCAAGAACATAACTATACATAATAACAGCCTATATCTTTTATTGCGCTAGGCAAACAAGTTTAGCCCTTTTCGATGCTCTTGGCAACTGCAATAGCTCTCGCAACACCTTTAGCTCTGAGCTCGGGTCAAGTTTAGCACACTTAAACATAAATTTTTTCAGCTTAACTGAGATACCAGCAATATATTCAACCAATTTGAGCTCCAAACTTGAGCCAGTAATACCTGTAATTTTTGCCTTCAGGAGGTGTCTAAGCTTAAAATTGTTGTTGTAGTCAAATTTGTGCTGAAGAACGTTTTTACTCGGAGTAACCTGTCCACAATAACACAGTAATTTCCTTAGCATCAAAAAACACAGGGGAACATGATAATTGAACAAAACTCTTTACAGTTTCCTGCTGTAGAAATATGGCTATACTTTGAAATTCGTGTTTATATACTTATTGATAATTCAAGATACTTGATATAGGGACAGTTTTGAACCATGTTGATGGTGAAACAAAATACATTAAAATCATCCAAGTCGAGTTTTGTCAGGCAAAGACTTCGCAGGTGACTAAATGTCTGAGAAAGTTTTTCGAAACAGCCTGCAGCCAAGGACTTGCATAACAAAGAAAACAGATTTTATATAAAGGGACCGAAATATATTTATCAGATATTGAATACGGAGTACTATATATGCATTTTACCTTACAGAGGAGGCCATCAAATCGAAGGAATTGAAGCTCAACAGGCGGCAATGCAAGAGCCAGAATCGCGCTGACAGTTTCTAAGTAAGTAGTGTTTTCCATTGGGGACAAAGATAGTGAAATGCGCTTAAGATGGAATGTATTTCTGAAAGCCAGTGATGCAAAAGAACCTTGAATACTTAAAATTTTAAGGATCGGTACATGATCAAAAACCAGATTAGTAATTCCAATGCAATCTTTAAGCCTTAAATGAGTGAGTCGTGGACAGCTTGTGATCAAACTTCTGAAAACATCATGTTTAAATTCAACAGACAGTAGCTCAAGATTCCGAAGATAAGCAAAACCTATACAGTCACTTGGAGCATTCAGATTCAGTGCATAATTAACAATCTTCAAATGAACCAGCTCATTGCAGGCGAAAATATGAGAAGGCATAACAGGTAGGCTATCAGCTTTAGCCAAATTCACAAGACTGATCTTTTTAATCGCGGCTCTTGAGAGAAAAGATAGCCACTGACTTATATTAAGGTAAAATTCATGATCAAGATCGTTTGGAACATGAAGATAGAACTCATGAACAGGATCATTGTGATACAGCAATATACTACCAATGATTTCATTGATACGTTTCCAGTCAAAATTTGTGTTTGATTTATGTTCTTCCCAGAAAGATTTATCAAAGACAAAGTACTTAAGGGACAACCAATTACGCCTCCATTTTCTTGATAGCGCACTCGTCTTAGCTACCATGGACACAGGTAAACGTTTAAGGATCTCGTCTATCAGATCAGTTGGAAGACTACTGATTAAATCTTGGTTGCTTTCAAGGACATTGGATTTTTTATTAGACTCGGAAGAAGCCATTTTCCACTACTTAGAGTTCGAACCTGAAATTTGGCCAAGTCTTTATAAGAGAAGTATACAAACAATTAACAATGTAGAAAAGTGTATTTAGTGCCAACACCCACAAATATAACCAACAACAACCCAAATTCACTACAAACAATTCACCAAGCAAAACAACCAAGATGGCACAATATAAGCGTAAAAAAAAACACTTTGATGTGAAGAGTAAAAACCACGGGACTGATAAGGTTTTTTTTTTTTTTTTTTTTTTTTTTATGATTATACTACCTTCGTTTTAAATTATTTGCAACAATTTGACATAAAGTGTATTTGCAGCAGCAGTAGTAATGAAATTGAGGGCAAAAGAAACCCAAATCAGTCAACAAAGTCTAAAAGTGTCACGACCCACCAACAAGTACATGCTTAAGAGAATAATAAGTAAAAGGGCAAAAGTGAAGAATATTACCAAAACACAGGGTTTCTGTCTAACAGCAATTCCAGACAAATCAGAGCTTTAAATGACGATCCAACCGTTCAAGTAGAGGTCCTATGAATTCTAAACAAGCTGAAAAAATTTGAGCACGACTTAACGGTGAAAATTTCGGCAATGGACAGTTTTGTGAAGGTTGTCCGTGAAAAACCGAACCTAAGAAGATTCACTTAAAAAACCCTCTCCTCTCCTTTCTTGACTTTTGATACTAGCTCAATAGCTCTTACACTCAGTCCTCAACTCCTCATACAATGTATTTATGTACGGCTCCTTCTCTTCAAATTATATGTTACTCCGTAAATCCTAATCCCTCCGTCCCCAAAACTTCCACCCTTTTGGGTCGATTTTGCGGTTATGAAGAAACTTAAATTAAAAGGAATTAAAACATATTGGAAAGATAAATTTAAATTAAAACGAATAAAAATATATTGGAAAGAATAAAGTATTAAAAATACATGGAAAAAACAAAATTTTATATGGAAAAGCTAATTTTGCACAAATATTGTTGTAAATTAATGGGTATTTTAATGCAAACGAGTAAATCTTTTGGGACTAAAATTAGGCCAAAAGGGCCGAAGTTTTGAAGACGGAAGGAGTACTAAAGTACATTGGAAATGTAAAGTACATTTTTTTTATTAAAAAAATATAGCCAGAATCCGGTAGTTGCAACCATAATATCATATAGTGATATAGCCAATATAGGATATCATCCAAAGAATAGAGGATATCAAATTATACTCCGTATTATATAGCCAATAAACGATATCATCCAGCCAATAGAGGATATCAAAACTTGTTGGATTGACGAAATATTTGATCAGTCCGTACTGACGCAATATATTCTCTTTATATACCTTTCAATTAGCAATAATATTTGTGCAACTTTAGCTTTCCATGTAAATTTTGCTTTTAGTATATACTTTATTTTTTCATCTCTATACTTTTTTTGCAAATCCTATGTAAATTTCTATTTTGAACCTACTTTTATTAGGTTCCCCATACACTCTCGTACTTCTAACTTAAGTTTCTTAATACTCGTGAAAACTCCCAAAAGAGTCGTTCTTTTAGAAACAAAGGGAGTAATATTTTAATTAGATGTATGAATTCGGATGATTGGATCGGGTTTGATGAGGTTGAGTCAAGTCAATTTTTAAAATTTTATCATACTAAATTATTTTATCCACGTGAGTCCAAATCAATATCGGATACTTTTCAGATAGGTTTCAAATCGGTCAGATCGAATGTGCTTTTCATACCTCTAATTTTAATGTCAACAACAATACAACATATAATAACTCGGCCTAAAACTCACTAGCCACCAGTCCACCCTTGGGAAAAAACGAAGGTAGTATCAACTTTGTCATGAGGTTTCAGTGAAGGTATGTTCTTCGATTCTTCTTTTTCTCTTTAATTCAGTTGTAATTTTTACTTTGGAAATTTGAATTTAATTTTTGTTTCCTCATTGCTTATACCTTGCATTAGATGATAAATTGTTAATAGTAGAGGTTTTTTTTCCCTAATATTTATCAATCGTTATTGAATTATAGTGAAATTTGTTGAATTATTGTATGTTAAATACTTAAAATCACTTAATTGAGTTTGGCCATGTTTGGTAATTGGCTTTTTAATGGTTTTTTGGTTAGTTTTTGGCTTTTGGCTTTTGACTTTTTTAGGTGGTCAAACAGCCAAAAAATGCGTTTGGTAATTGGCTTTTTAGTCAGCGAAAAAGCTGGCTTTTAAGCCAAAATGAAAAAGCTGTTTTGAGTAGCTTTTTTGTTGGCTTTTGGCTTGTTGCCTCACAAATTATCTAATAAACAGCCAACAACCAACAATTAATTTACCAAACACTTTTATAAACAGTCAGCTTAAACAGCCAATTTCAAAAGCCAATATAAACAGCCAAACATTCCAGCTGGTCAAACAAGCCAAGTGAACCAGCCAACCGCCAACATCCATTTGCCAAACAAGGCCTTTTTCTTTTCTGTTAGTAACTGATTACATCGATTATCACCCAAATTTGTTGTATGTGAATATGAGTGAATAATGTATCACTCATTATGGTTGAAAATTGAAATGTTACTGGTGTTTTTTTTTCTTATGTATGACATTTTGTGTTATATGATTGAACTAGCTAGTTTATGTTTGAAATTAGGCTTTAAATAAATGTATACATCATATCCCAAAATTCGAAATCAAAAGCATATTGCCCAATAGCATGGGAGAGTATTTGTTTTTGAATGTAAGCCTTGATTCTATATAATCGGTTCCTAAGGCTAAATATGCAAAATTGTTGAGCATAATTGTAATTTTCCTTATTTTCCATTATTTTTTGGCTGTAGTATAGGGATTAGGGAGTACTATATGATTAAAATACACTAGAATGTGTATGTGTCAAAAAAAAATACACTAGAATGTGTTTGTGCTAACGCAAGAGATATAATACTCCCTCCGTTTCAAAATGATGTTCTTGTTTCGTAAATCGATGCAAATTTTTGCCCATCGTTGACCACAAATATCTTTAACCTAGCGAAAATTATAAAAGTTAGAGATTAATAATCAACTCATCTAAACAAATCAAACTAGATCTCACATGACTATATTTGTTCTTATAGATTAAGAGAAATTTAAAAGATTCTCTCTTTTTTTTAAAAAAAAGGTCAAAGATTCCAATCAGGAACATCATTGTGGAACGGAGAGAGTACTTCCGATGGAATACAATTGTAGAAATTGGGTTCCTTAAAAACATAATTATTGAGGAGTTAGTGGAATAGATTTTTTTTTTTTTTTAAAGTTGTATAGAGTTTTAGGATTGAAGATTTAGAATGTTGTGGTGAAAAGTTGGCAAAATGACTTGGAATTATAGTAGTATATAGTTATTACTTATTACGAGGGAGCTCCGGTTAATCTCTAAGATTAACATTTAAAGTTATAGATTACTACGTACTTTTTGAATCCATTAGTATACTACGGTGTAAATATTTATCTACTCTTTGCCCCTTTTTGTTTGTTTCATATTCATTTTAAAGTTGTCTTTTAAAGATTGCTTGTACTAATAATATACATGCATGATCTGTTGGTGGAGCACCATTTTGCTTTGCTCCTACAAAAATTACTTTAGGTATCACCATTTTTTTCGCTCATCAATTTTATTCAGCTAAAACTTAATAAAGCAAAAATACAGAGTATGTGTATGGGGCAAAGAATTGGGCACGGAGGGGGATTCCTTGTCTTGAATGTTAATGTATGTTGTGAACATATGTCACTCCTAAGTCCTAACTACCGCATATTATTCAATCTTAGCAGTCAACAGGTCCGCTGTCCAATTGCTTCATCCAAACATAAAATGAACACGTACTATTGATGAAGCTAAACAAGATTTAATCAGTAATCTACCAGATATTGTGACTGAAAAAATTCTTAAACGCTTGCCTCTCAACATGGCAGCCAAGATGAGCGTGCTATCAAGAAAATGTAAGGAAAATTGGTTGTCTCAAAGACACCTTGTCTTCGGCGCAACTTTCTGGGAAGGACAAGGTAGTGGGCAAATAGACAGTTATGGTATCATCAGCAGTATACTCTTCCATCACATTGGACCTAACATAAATTCCATCTTGGTATACCACTTTCTGCAGGTATAACATGCATTCATCTCAGTCAATGGCTATCTTTTCTTTCTAATACTAATGTAAAAAAGATAGCTTTAATAGACAATTTGTTCGAACACAAATCCATACCTTCTCATATATTCTCATGCAAAGAGTTGGTCAAATTGAAACTTGTGTGTTTAACTCTGAATCCTCCACCTCGTGACTTTAAGGGCTTCACTAATCTTCGAAGTCTTCAGCTATGGTTTATTAAATTCAAGCATAGTAATATGCTTGCGAGTTTGTTTGCAAGTTGTCCCAGGCTAATAGTGTTAATACTCAAGCATTGCATAGCTTTGGATACTGTTATTATCGATGTACCTAGTCTTGAAAGGTTAGCTATTAGTGGAAATTTAAAATGTCTTTGTCTCAAGAGCATTGTACGTCTTAATAACATCTCACTGTGTTTGAACGAGTATTTTAAAAGCGATGCAGTAGTACTCAACTCGATTAGGTATCTTGCTATTTCATGTCAACTTCGATACCTTCATTTTGGGGGCCGTTTGTGTGAGGTAAAATCTTATTGCTTTTATTACTGTTTGCCATTGTATAATAATCATATGCTTTCCTTTAGTTGTTTGTCACTCGTATTCTACCTCATTTTCTCATCTCCTTCCGGCTTGGTTTTGCAAGGATTTGGCTGCAGGTGGTGTAACATAATCACTTCCTTTATTATTTAACTACCTCAGTAAGCTTTGTTTGACAAAAAATAACTTTGGCCGCATAGATGTATATCGTTTTGTTATTGGCATGGTTCAGAGTTGTCCTTGCATCAAGGATCTGGAAATTTCAGTGAGTATAAAAAAAACATTATGTATCAATCTTCACAACTAATTTGTTAATCTTTGCTAATATTAGCTTTTGTATATCATCTTGTATCATAAGAGTTAAATTGGTTGAAATATATCTAAAGAGTAAAGACTTCTTTGATTGTTTATATGTAATAATTGATTGTGTTTTATTCCCCAGGCTTTAGCAAACACAGATGTTTTTCAGCTCGAGATTGACTGCGATTACAGGATTGACAGCTACAAATTGGGCCATCTTACAAAGGTGAAATTTACGGGCCTAAAAGGATCAAGTGCAGAGCTGAAACTCATGGAGTACTTGCTTGCTATTTCAGAAGTGCTAGAACTTTTTCTCTTCAAGTGTGAAAATCTTGATGTCACTGCAGAGCTTAAGGTATTAAGAGATCTGTTGCGATTCCAAAGAGCATCAGCAAAGGCGCAACTTATTTATATGGAGTAGTCGAGGGTCTAAGTGGAAACTGATTTTGGCGCATCTCATTGTGTGAAGAGTATAGAAATTGTGCTCTCACAGTCGGAGTGCCAAAATCATTTCCTGGTCTAAGAATGTAGTTCTGAATTCTGAGTACTGTTGGTAGCTTAAGTTATAATGTTTCATTTGCTTTTTACTTTTATGGAAAACAAACCTATTTGTAAATCCTGTCATCTTATTTTTACCAAGCAACAGAGTACATTATACATCTTAAAGTAGCCAAGTTCCTAGTAAATCAGGGAACAAACCCTATTTTACCAAGCAGGATCTCTGCTAAGCCGCCCCTCATCACGAAAACTAGATATAAACATGTTTGTAAGAACTAGTTAAAACAAGGGAACACTAATTAGGAGAACACGAATCAATAATTAGGCCATCTGTATTCTCTATCGGTCTAATCATCAGTATATATTTTGCCTATATTGATGCTCTTGGATAATGCAACAACTATCATGTTATCTCACTTAGTGATCCTAAGGGATTTGCTAATATTCGAAAGTTTTAGCTATTCAGTATTGAGGATGAGCATGATATGATAAGGAGCTTAAGCGTTAGTTGTCCTGGGCTTGCAGTGTTCAAGACCTGTGAATTGCTCCATGAGTAATAATTATCAATTTACTGGAGAGATAATTAGTTACTGAAAGTATACTTAGGTATCATGATTTTAAGAATGTTCCGCCTTAGTGGCAGCTGTGTCTTTTGATGAGATTATGGTATATGATGACGGCCATCTACCAGTATTCGCGACTACATTAGGGATCTTGCAACTGTAAGTAAGCTTCAATACCTTGAATTTGGTGGTCATTTATGTCAGGTGCACACTGTTTTTATAATAATATCTGACACTGCAGGAAAATCCTCTAGTAACCAGGTATGTAAGTATAAAGTATGTAACTGATATAGGAAGTAAGATTTGATAAATTACTGCAATATCAAATTCCATTACAGTATGAATGTCATCTTACTAATGCCAATATCTATCTTTAATTGCGGATTTTCCTATGAATCGAAAGACAAACCCTAAACTAACCAAGATACATAGATGCACAAATTAACCTTAAAGCCTATGTATGCACATATTCACACTGCTGCAGGCCTTCCATCTTTTCTTGGGTCACTTACCCCAGTAAGTTTACCAAAGTATGTGTTACCAATAAAATTCTTTCCAGTTTTCCGGCCTAGATCAACTGAACTTTCAAATGTCTGTACAATAAGCTGGCAGATTGCTCCAATTTCAATAGGCTGCAGTTTGTGACCCCTCGTCTCCAAGAAAGTCCTCCTTCCTATGGGAAGTTCAATGTGCTCCCCGTCAATCACAGTCACATTCTCATATAGGACTACATTCGGAATTAGCTGCAGAACATCAATTTTCACTTAGAGGTTGGCCATTGCAATTCAGTAAAAATTATACGCATTATTTTGGATTCAATCAGTTGTTGCAAGGAAAAAGAGAAAAATAAAACCTTATGGTAGACTCTTGCATTTTGGACAGCAGTGAGAGGATCCATTCCCAGAACAAAATGGTTTAGGAAAACCTGGGTTACTGCTGGAATTATGTTCATCCCACCACTACCACCTATAACTCCTGCCAGTTGATCATCCTGTCAATTAACCAAAATGGGAAACATGATCAAACTTCTCAAAAGACAATAAGGGTAAAGAATATTAATACAATGTTTTCCCTCTATCTTACCTTGAGAATAATGAGGGGAGTCATCGAAGACAAGGGTCGTTTTCCTGGTTGTATGAAATTTGCAGGATCAGGAGGAAGACTGTCAGGACTTACTTCTGTAGGAGTTGAAAAATCACCCATCTCGTTATTTAACACGATTCCAGTAGAAGGGGATAACACCCCGCCTCCAAATGGATAGTTGACTGTTGTTGTTACTGACACTGCATTTCTCTCTGCATCAACGATGCAGAAATGACTCGTTCCATTATCTTGTAGCTGACTCCACCTACATAATTCAAGCATATGGTAAATTTTACTGTAAAACCTTCCCACTTTAATTTCCTTTCCCTTTATCAGTCTATCTTAAGGTAGTTAAAGAATCCTTCCTTTATATACCTGCTCAGGTAATATTCAGGAGGGAAAGTTGTGTTATCATATATCTTACGCCAAATTTCCTTCGCAAAAGATGTGGAAGTCATGTCGGACATATACTTGGTAATATTAACATAAGCAGGATCGCCCAAGTTCATTCTGACAGCAAACATATGCTTCATTGCCTCAATCAGTCTATGTAAGCCTAAAGGCCCTTCAATCGCATTGGGGCTCCCATAGTTGTTTAGTATGTTTAATATCTGTTTCGCAACAGAAAAAGAAAAGAGAAATTCTTTGAGTTGGGGAAAATATGCTTCTTACACCATACACTGATATATTTAAGCCTTACAGAGTTACAGATATCCTTTAGTTTTTACATATAATACTCCTTTAATTTCATCATGAAAGATCTGGCAGACATACTCTAAGAGTCTAAGCCTCTAAGGTCACAAATAAGCTGATTTTAACAATAGGCATGATGCTTGCAGATGTTGATTTTACGCGTCAGTTGATACTTTACAAGACCTCAGGGTACTTCAGAAACAGAAGATAAAAATATAAACATCAGCCAATGGCATGATATCAGAGGTGCAATATATCTGAAGCCTTACTAAGTTCTTACAGTTCAAAGTATCATACAGACTGGTAAAAGAGTGTTTCTAGAAGATGCATTCAAAGCACATTTTTTCATGCATCAGTTACATGAATATGAGTCCATCAACCAGTAGCTAAGAGAACTTACCAGGGTCATTCCCAGGGTACCGCTTGAAGGTGGTGGCATTCCTAGTATCGTATACCCCATTACATCAGCTGCTAAAGCTTTCGTTACTTTCACTTTGTAATTCCTAAGATCCTCCTCTGTCAGAATCCCACCTGCCTCTCTCACATCCTTCACTAACTTCTTACCAACCGTGCCATTGTAGAAGGCTGGTGGCCCTTGGTCCGCTATTGCCTTCAAGCTTTCTGCAAGCTTTACATTGTAGCATATGTCCTTTGTCTGCAAGAGCTTCCCGTTTGGTGCAAACACTTGACTTAAACCAGGGTCATCTCTGATCATCTTCTCATGTTTTAATATGTTCTTTTCAAGATATGGAAGAACCTCAAAACCATTTTCAGCAAAATGTATGGAAGGTTCAAATAGAGTTTTCCATGAAAGCCGCCCATAATACTTCCATGCTTCATGGAGACCAGCCAACTCACCAGGTACACCCATTGACAGGGGGCCTGAAAGCTTTGCCGCAAGATCATTGTCATACATGTTCTGTTTTTGTTACAAAAATATCAATATAATGTCAGTATCAACTCTCAAGCTTACTGAGTTTCAACACAGGTACTCAGATTTAATGAGTACAGAACATACCTCTTTCCAAAAGCAATACAATACAGTCAATCTTGATTCAATTCTAATATAAAACTACCAAACTACTAAACAAAAATCAATCAATTAGATAAAACAGTGACAAGAGTGAACCTCAGAAGCAGCTAAAGGAGCAGTTTCCCTCATATCAAACGCTAAAGCTTCTGATGTTGATGCAGACCTGACAACCATGAAAGCTCCTCCTCCTATTCCACTAGCCATGGGATTAACCACACCCACACACAGCGCGGTTGCAACAGCAGCATCAACAGCATGACCGCCTAGTCGGAGCATCAATGCTCCAACCTCTGAACAACGGCGATCATCAGCTGCAACAATCCCTTTCCCTGACTCCACAATTTCAGGTACATCAACTTGTGGTTTTCCATTGAGCTTTTGTTCATTGTTTACCAACCAAGAAGTCTTGGTACTCCCAAAAGCAAGGCCTAGGATAAGGCATTTACAAAAGACAATGATTAAGTTTGTAGGAACTTTCATCTGTTTATCAGTTTATGTACACTTTAGAAATAAACTTGCAGCTGTTAAAGATTAAATGTATTGGTATATTTGATCTTAAAATCCCAGTTATTGTTAGTCTAAAATTTAATGCTCATGATTAAAGGAAAAGTCATAAGAACAGCAAAGTCAATAAAATTGACACATGAAGGGCATGTTCATATTTACTGAACTGAACTGATTGGAGCTGAACTGAATTGAATGGAGCTGAGTTGAACTGAACTGAGCTGAATATTTCATGAGAGAGGGAAATTAGGAGTTGAGTTGAACTGAACTAATTAGAACTAAACTGAACTGAAACTAAGTAAATGTGAATATATCCGAATTATTGTTTTTATAAACATGGAGTCAAAACTAAAATGCTAGGGAAAGAAAGGGATAATGGTTGGTTATTACAAGCGGTGGATGATATCTTGATATTGACATTATATTTATTATTAATATGAGCTAGAGTAGTAAAAACAACCCATTATATGAATTTAATATGATGCTTCATCAAACTTTCATGATTCTATAGATTATAATTAACAAGGAATGTCTAACTTATAAGATACCATTTTGAAGGATTATTTGAATTTATATGGTGTTTTGAGAAGTTGTACAAAAAGAAAAATGGTTAGAGGGTTACGAGCCAAATATACTAGTATTAGATGAAGCCCGTGCGATGCACGGTTTGTTTGATTTTTTTTAAATAATGTTTTTTTTTGGATTTATGAGCCTAAAATTTGTTATATATTTAGATAAAATTCCTAATATTAAAAGATAATATATAATATTTAATTAATTTAAACTTAAAAATCTCATTCGCCAATTTTGCTTACATAGCATTTAAATTATTTAATTCTAAAAGAAATTAATAATTTCTTATTTAATTGGCTACTACTAAGATTTATGATCCTACATGGCGCGGTGAGAAAATTAGATCATACGTGGCTCTCTAAAACTCGGGAAAAAACTCCCCTTTTATATATATTTTAGATTATACTTTATCGGCTTCAAAAAAATGTGGAAATTTGACTTTTTAAATTCGCCTTTTTTTTGTTAACTTTGACCTTATTTTTTAAGTTAGTAAACAAAAGATGCACAACATCAAATTTGTATTTTATATTTATAAATAACTATCATCTTAGATATTAATGGTTACAAATATTTTATGAACCTCACAATTTGTGTTTAGTTTTCGTGTATACTTCTATGAAAGCTACCCGCATGTTAATAGCGTGAATCAATTGTTTTTGTCATCCACATAAAGTGATAAAGATACCACTTCATATCAGATACCACTTCATATTAGATACCATTCCTACCAATAATTCACACTACATTCTTATAATTTTGTACACGCTTAAAAAAAATACTCCGTATATATATATTTATATATTTTTGTAAAATACTCCGTATATACCGTAATAATTACGTGTGTGATGAATTCCTAATTAATAGCTGTGATAAGTAAAAAAAACAGCCTGAAAATATGTTCTTTAATATTTGTTAAATTACCAAAATGCCCTTACTCGTCATACATCAATATGTGGTTCTAAAAACAATTTTGTGGGTATTTTAAGCATATCACAGTTATAAATTATTCGATTAATCCGTATTTCGAACCTACACCCAATTAAAAGCAATGTGCAATTGACTTGTTAAAAAGAACTATGTGCGAATAATTTAGCACAATTTCATCCAACAAATCAAAACATTTGACTTTTAAAGACTATACAAGCCTACGGTCAAACCCCATATCCCAATAACTATGGAATCTATAGCCGTAAACTCAAAATAGAATCTGAATCTTACCCGAAAGTTGACTTTAATCTTATTATAGGACGACGTTTAGCGGTTCACTTATAAACTCTTCGATTTTAAAAGAGAAAACTTTACTCTATCTCAATTAAAATCCACCATGATAAAAATAATTCAAGATTTAATAAAAAATATAGTTGACTTACCTGTAATTACGAATAGTGCAAGAAAGGAAAAGACGAATTTGCCCCAAGAGTTGGAATTTTTATGGGTGTTGCCCAGAAGAGGAGTCTCCATAGCAAGATCAGCAAAGAACCTCTTTCATGAAAATTAGGAGAGAGAAAATGAGAAATAGCCAACTAAACGTGGAGGTTTATAACTGGCATATTTATAATTTTATTTTTATTTTCTCTGGAAAAAAAAAATGTAACAGTCTTATTTTAAGGAAAAAAAACAGATTAAATTATACGCATTTTAATTATGGCTTGGATTATACGGATTAAAAAAAGGTTAGAGTAGTTGGTTGGTACAGGTGGGAAGGATGATATGATACTCGTACTATAGTAATTTAGTGGAGTATTGATATGAAATCATATGAATTATGAAATGATGTGGTAGGGACAAGTTAGTTCAATATTATAATATACATAATTCTTTCAAAGAAAAAAAAGAATAATATACCTCATTGTTTGCATTCATGTCAATTGATCACTAAATTAAAAATATAAATTAATAATAAAAAATAAAACTTTTCAACCCTATAGCATGATTAGCATCATTGTATAGACATTACAATTATAAACCACAAATTTTCATACTTAGTTGAGCATACTGTGTGACCGGGGCTACTCGGTCAAAGTTATTCAGTTGCTTAAGGTTACTCGGTCCGAAGTTATCTAATCGGTTAAGGGTTATTTGATTGTTCAAGGGTTACCCGGTCAGATGTTACACAATCAATGTTTTGTGATACTCTTGCTCTGCAGGATTTGATGTATTACTTACACTTACTCCAACGAGATGCACTTTTATTCCATTTTTAAAATAAAATAATAAATAAATAAATAAAGCTCATATGCTATGGTATTTCTCAGTTAAGCGTAGTGCTTGGCTGCAAGTAGCCTTATGAAGAATGACCTCTTAACTTGCCATGATATAAACAAGTAAGGACAAAATGCGTCGGAAGAACTTGTGTTGATCTATGAGGACAATTGTTGGTCACATATGCGCACTTTGTGACAATAAAATCCACCCAGATTTGGGGCCGGGATGTTACAGTTTCGGTGAGTGGTAATCAACCACACAATATGATCAGCCACACAAAAAATGTGCTGGTTATAAATAGTTAATAAGTTTAGATAAATGAAATCAGGTAAAATAATGCATCCTAAACATTGTTATCTCACAAAGTGAGAACTTAGGGCCTGTCCGGCAAAATATAGTTGTGAAGGTAAATATTAGACGTGTAAATGGTTTTTAGCTGTCAACAAGTTGTTAGTTGTGAATATAGATAATTTAGGTATGAGTGTTCGTTAAAGTAGCAGTTGATTAGTTGTTACATATAAAAATCAATATTTTATTTTTAAAATTATAGATTAAATTTTTAAAAGTTACCTCAAAAGCTAATACTTCTAACTTTTCATAAAAGCTACCTCCACCACTAAAAGTTACCAAAACCACTACTTTGTTAAACACTCACATTTTTATGAGGAAAATTTGCCAATTGCAGCCATTTAAAGTTAATATTTTGCAAATTGCAGTCATTTTAAAAAAAATTGCAAATTGCAGCTCGAAAGTTCTTATCAATTGTAAATTGCAGCCCGATTCAACTCTTTCATCGGTTTAAGTTTCGAAAAATATTTGATTAGGGGTCATTTTAGCCTTTAAGAGTCCGAATTGAGCTCGGAATTAACATAAAAAATGACATGAATGCCTCGTTTTATTTATTTGTTTCATTTCCTCTGGGTATGTATGCCGATGCAAATCTTTGATCAATTATATCTTTAATTATTAATAAATATAAATTCTAACAATTGAAGTTTAATAATCTATTCATTGAGATGATTCCAACAAGTACCCATAAAGCTATATATATATATGCATGCATCCTATTTTGACTAATGTTTGTGATCATAAATATATATATATATATATATATATATATATATTTATGATCACAAACATTAATCAAAATAGGATGCATGCATAAATAGTGCAAAAAATATGAATGGAACATTTAAAACGGAGGGAGTAATAACGTGTTTATACGGAGTATTCTTCTTGATTGGCAGAGTGGCATTAAAGGCCTTAGTGGTTGGGTTTGGACTAGTTTAAGTGTACTTTCTTCTTTTATCAAAATGGCCCAAAAATTATATTCAAAGCATGGCCCAAAATCTATATTGTAAGTTTGTAACATCATAAGTGTATTGTCTTCTTCTGTATAAATGAGCATGTATTAATGATATCACAATAATATAGTAAATTCAGACTGAAAAATACATGATCTTAATTTTTTTCTTGATTTGTATTTTTTTTTTAAAAGTTATTATCTTCAAAAGAGTGTTCAATAGACTTTGAAGTGGATATTAAGAAAGAAGTGATCTGACTCATCTCAGAATGACATTTTCAAGTTGATAGAAATAATATGCTAATTACTAGAGTATGTACAAAAAGAACATATATGATCATGGTTGCTAGTCTTGCTACATAATTAGAGACATCTTTGTCTATACATATATAGAGATAATGTGGAAGTTAAGCACATAAGATAATATTGATTATTCAATGATAGTGAATATTACATAATTAAATTTTCAAGGTTTCATGTAAAGATGGTTGATTGAATGATCTTTCCCGTCAATGATGTGATTTTTTTTTTTATGTATAAAAAAGTCCATGAACATTTGTAACTAACTAACTAACTAATAATTTCTTTTTTAAAAAGTGTCAATGAATCAATTAAAATCATTTGTGGTAAACATAAATTAGGGCTTGTTCACAATTACCGAACTGAGCTGATTAGAGCTGAACTGAACTGATTGAAGCTGAACTGAACTGAACTGAGTTGAATTGAATATTTTAATTATGAGAGAGGGAAATTAGAAGCTGAACTAAACGGGACTTAACTGATTGTAGCTGAACTGAAATTAAGTAAATGTGAACAGACCCTTAGTTTTTATCAATAAAAATAAGTTAATCAATAGTAATTAATATAGATATACATACCATATTGACCACATTGTCCTAGCTACTTTATATATATTACGTAAAATAATATATTATTGATTTTTCCTTTTAAAAAAAACACTTGATATAATTCCTGTCCATCATGAAAATTTATCATGGATATTAATCCATATCGACCTACTTTACAATTATAAATTCTGAAGCAAGAAAAAAAAAGATTGGACTATATTTCATGATCAATATCATTTCAATACTATGATAAATAAGATTAGTATAGTTTAATTAGCATACAATAATAATGCAATTACATTTCTCATATACTCCCTCGATTTTGATTTACTTTGGCATGTTTTGATTGCACAAGATTTTAAGTAAATAATTGTCCCTTTTTATCTTAATGAGCTATAATTAATGATGGGGTTATGGGGTAACATTTTTATCATAAAGAATTGTTTTACCAATATACGTGTCAGTGTGTCACTATGTTAAGGACAACGTTACCATTATTTTCAAACAAATTGACTAACATACGTGATAAGTCATACGTGTTAGCGTGTCACAATGTTAAGGACATCGTTACTATCATTTCCGAACAGATTGACACGGTCAAATTGTTAGTGTGTCACTATTAGGTGTATTACCTACTCACCCAATTAAAAAATCACATATTTAAAAATTACGAAGTAGAAAATACAACAAATAACAAGATCCTGTACGACTATAATGTTTTGAAGTATAGATAAACGGTATTTCAAAGAACGGATTGAACAACATACGTGTCAGTGTGTCACTATCCCCCACTCACCTCATGAAAACTCCATCCTGAATTCCTTATTGTATACCAAACCGCCCAAGGAAAAAAAAAAATAAAAGTAGAAAAAAGCCAGAAAAAGGAAGCAAGAAAGCGAAAAACAAAAGCAAAAAAATCAATAAAAATGGAATTATAAAAATAAATACACCCAAGTGTCTCTCTATCCAAATCAACGAAACCCAGGAAAGCTCAGTTGGGTTCTTTCCTGGGTATTACTGCTTCTTCCTTGTTATTACACTACACACTTTCAAGTTCCCACCTTTCACTTTCTCTCTCCTTCGACGTCACTCCTTTACTCTCACTCCTCTTTCTCTCTCATACCCTTTTCCCCATTTTTATTATTAATTCTTGGGATTGATCATTGTTTCTGATTAGGGTTTACTCTGATTTTGATTCTGGGGTTTCAATTTTTGTCAGTTACATGAACTATAATGTCGAGAATATGCACAGATTTGCTACTTTTTGTGGGTATCATGATTATTATTATAGTTGGGTTGAATTTCAATTATACTTTTGCAATTGATTCAATTGATGATGATGATGATGGTGATGGGTTTTCGATTATTGGAAGTGGGGTTGAGAATTCGTATCAATTTCACGGGGATTACTCTCCTCCGACGCCGCCGCCTCCGGTGCTTCCACCGTTACCGCCTTCGGCATCGTGTGAAGGTGATCTTAGGGGTTTTGGATCGCTTGAGAGTGTTTGTAAGCTCAATTCTAGCTTAGAATTATCAAATGATTTGTATATAAAAGGGAGTGGTAATTTAGAGATTGATTCTGGTGTGATTATTAGTTGCCCTTTTGCTGGGTGTTCAATAACTGTTAATTTGAGCGGTGAATTTCAGTTGGGTAGGAATGCTACTGTAGTTGCTGGAGCTTTCTGGGTTGTGGCAGAGAATGCGAGTTTTCTGGAAGGTTCTTTAGTTAATGTTAGTGCTTTGGGGGGTCCTCCGCCTGCACAGACGAGCGGGACGCCTGTAGGGGTGCAGGGTGCCGGTGGCGGGCATGGTGGGAGGGGTGCTAATTGTTTAGCAGACAATTCAAAGCTTCCTGAGGATGTGTGGGGTGGGGATGCCTATGCTTGGTCTGAGGTAGACAAGCCGTGGAGTTTTGGCAGTCGCGGTGGGACTACAAGTAAGGGGGAGAATTTCGGTGGTGGAGGTGGTGGGAGGATACTGTTAAATATGACTAATTCAATTGAAATGGATGGGAGTCTTCTAGCCGATGGCGGCACCACAGGTATTAAAGGGGGAGGAGGATCAGGTGGTAGCATTTTTATAAAGGCTTCTAAAATGTATGTTCTGCTTCCTCATATTATGGGTTTTTATGTTGATTTTATTTTTTTGAGTTTTGTTAAGGCTGTTGATGGTTTTCCATGACATTTTGTTACAGGCTATATTGTTATGTACATACTTGTAATCCTTTGGGTGGGCGAGTTAGATGTTTGGGACATTTTTATGATCATATGAGATGGCTTTTTTTAGTTTGTTAAATGGTTATAAATTTTATTGATTATCTATGTCTGTTATGCGAGTAAAAAATATGTGAACAGTAAAGAGTTAAGTGTTTTTAGACCTAATATCTTGTGACTATTTTTGACGTTGGCTTTGCTTGCCTCAACATGATTTTGTTGAAGCAAAGTTTTCCTGGATTATAAGCAGAATTTGGATTTGGTTCTTCATTTCTTAATTACTATTTCAGCCTCTTAGGCCATATTGTCATGAAAGTATATGCCATTATGGCCTATTATGATGTTAAAATCCTTGTCAGGACTAAAAGATGCATATTTGAACAAAAAAACTAATGTATATAAGCAGCATTTCAAGCCCCATATCTTCATGAAAGGATATGGCAATTGGCATAGCTAAAAGATGAAAGATGCATGATATCACCACCCTTCAGGTTGTGTTGCAAGTCCTTGTATTAGTTTGGATATAGGTGCCGTCCATTGCCTTATCTTCCGAGGCGCTTTTCAATTGTACTATGGCACACCCTGGCTGTCTTCTCTTGGCATTACTTTCTTGTAGAGCCCATGGTGCTTTTCAGCATCTGGTTTTGACCTAGAACTTCAGGTGACAATTGAGTGGACTTATTTCATCTGTTATGCCTTACTTCTATATATTGTTCTTAGAATTTCAGGGAATGATCTCTGCTGTTCAGTAACCCTTTGTCAACCCCTTGGTCTGCAGCATGCCCCCCCCCCCCCCCCCCCCCAACGCCACAAAATTTCTGTTTTGTGCTCTAAAAAGTGAGAAAATACTACGTACATATTGGTTATTGTTCCAGTTGTATCTTGCCATGATCTTTTTTTAAGGTTACAATTATACCTGACATTTTCTCAAAGCTTCAACTCCTTGCATTTCAAATTCTAGTTAGAGTGCTTGCTCTCTGGAGTGTCTAGTTAAACAATTTAGGATATTATCTCATAATCTAGTGGAGGAACCATGAATGAAAAATGAGGCTTGGATAGGAATTGTGGTGTTGCAGGTTTCATGCTAGAAGGTCATTGTTATTAGATTAAGGGTTAGTTAGAAACAACCTCTAAGCTATTGCAGTGGGAATGTTGGTTACTATTGATCCACTTGCCCCAACCAAGGCAAGAGCCTATTTTAGAGGCATCAGGGTAATGAATTTGTTACTGTTAGTATCACAATGAAATTCAAGTAGGGCCTTTGCTTAGAGTTGAGATAGGCATGCTAGATTGCTAGTGGTCCAACTCTCCTCCCTTCTTAAGTTAATTATTTTTGAAAATGCTAAGTTACTTTTTTTTTTTTTTTTTTTTTTTTTTAATTTTATAATTTCCTTTTTTTTGTGAGGGGTAAGGCTAGATGCTTCTTGACCTCAAACCATTCGATGGCAGATTGATAGGAGACATGCCTTTTGATTTTTTCATAATACTTTTATTCCCCATTTTGTTTTTTATGCTATTGCTAAGTGAGAAGAGTTGGGTATAGTGACAGGTTTAACTGGTTGTAGTACATTTAGAAAAATCTCATCTCTCTCTTGCTCTCACTCTCTAGGTTAGGGTGGATGTTATACTCAGTATTGTGTGTTTGGGATGGGATGTGATTGGGGGACTAATAGAAATTAAATAGCTGAGCTCGTTGAGGGAGCTTGAGGGAAGAGGTAAGAAGATTTTTGGAAAGTACAAGGTCACAACCCTTCAATAGAGACTTGCTAAGGGGCTTGAAATGTTGCTTCTGTATATCAATTTTTTAGTTCTTTAACTTGTATTGATTCTGTCATAGATTTGGATCTTCACTTTGGTTTTGCAGCTGAGTCTCATCTCTAATTAGCGATTGTAGTGTCAACTGTTTATTGTTCAAAGACTTCAAACTTTAATTCAGACCCCTATGTATTCTTATATGTAAGAGTATAAATTATTCCGATGTGCAGCTTTCTGTTATATTTCATTACAATATAGTATTTACAAACTCATATAATATTGTTCAAGCTCCAATAGTGTTTCATTATATTCCCTCATATTCCCCTCCAGTATGACTTCTTTATAAGCCAGACATCAATTATGGCCCTACAAGGAGTGAGATTGCCAAGTGCCTGGTCATTATTTTGTCCAAGGAACACAATGCATGAATTGTGTATTCTGATTAATTGTTAAGATAAGGGAGACATCTTTATGGAAGGGAGACAAATGTACGAGGAGGAAAGCTTTCCTCTTGTCTGGAAGTTATATTACATCAGTGGGATTGCTGAATCAGTAGAATGTGATTGGTGCTGTTTGAATTTATGTTGTCTCTATGGTTGAACTGTTGTTCCTCTCTGCTTCTGCTCCTTTCAATAGTGTCTTCTTCCACCCTTTCTCGGATTTACCAACCTTTTGGGACATCTTTATGGAAGGGAGAAGAATGTACGAGGAGGAAAGCTTTCCTCTCTTTCAGAAGTTATATTACGTCAATGGGATTGCTGAATCAGTACAATGTGCTTGGTGCTGTTTGAATTTATGTTGTCTGTAGAGGGACATTAATTCAAGCATAGGATATGGTTGAGGATGGGTTGGTTGAACTGTTGTTCCTCTCTGCTTCTGTTCCTTTCAATAGTGTCTTCTTCCACCATTTCTCGGATAACCAAACTTTTAGGACAGCATTGCAAGCATAGTAGCGTACCACATTGATTTTCATTTTCAATACCTTGCCGCTACAATCTGTTAGTTGGATCTACCCTTATAATTTTCCTTGCAAAGAGCAGGGCTGGAAATGGCCGGGTAAGTGCATCTGGAGGTGACGGCTTTGCTGGAGGAGGTGGTGGAAGAGTTTCTATCAACATCTTTAGCAGGCATGATGATCAAGAATATTATGTTCACGGTAACAATTCCTTCATGCTACCTTCAATAATTTTATATATGCTAATTTCCTAAATGTATTCCTTTTCCTTTGATGTATCGATAAGATTTATGACTACTGCTGTCAACAAGAACCATTTCCTTTTCTGCTCTGGACTTGTAGGAAGAAAAGATAAATAATATATTTAGTGGAAGATTTAGGTTTTTGAGATACAGCATAAACTTGTTGCTGATCAAATATTGCTCGGATTTCTTATGCAATGGTAACAATTAACTAAGTAGCTGACCTGCCTTTTTGTGACTGTTCTAATATTGCTGCTGAACCTCCCAAGTACCTGTTGTATTGCTAACTTCATTCATGAACATTTACGATCAAATGTCTTAAATTCTGACCTTTGTATTGCTGAATTTAGTTACACTACCTCCTGATCTATAACGTAACTTTGGAAATTTACAGGGCTCATAGTTCCCATGACGTAGTATTGGCGCTTTTAATTTTATGTTCAATTTAGGAGGTTGTGGACAGAAATTGTAAGATGGTAGTTAGTTTTTCTTGCCCGTGGAATCATAGATCTTGCCCGTGTCCAGTGTCACCTATTTGTTTATGCATGCTATACTTACTAGTTAATACTTAGGCATATATTGATTTTTTAAATTTTTTTTATTTTATTTATAGGAGGGAGAAGTTTTGGTTGCCCTAAAAACTCAGGTGGTGCTGGTACATTTTATGATTTTGTTCCTCGGAGGCTGACTATCGACAATCACAACTTGTCAACAGACACAAACACACTTCTTCTAGAATTCCCTAATCAGCCACTGTGGTCAAATGTCTACATACAAAATCAGGCAAAGGCTACAGTTCCTTTGTTTTGGAGTCGTGTGCAGGTAAACAATGTGTGAATGTGTTGATTTGAGCATTTAATTTTGTGGTGTTGGTAATTGTTTTTGTTTCAGCCCTAAGCTTGTGTATGTTGCCCCACCTTATTCACGTGGTAAAAGAAAATGTTTAGTATACCATATTTTTACTGATATGATTATGAACTTTATATGTGTATATGGACCCTAAGTTTAAAAAAATAAAAAATAAAAAAAATGGACCCTTAGATTATCATAATAGGACAATTAAGGTGCTTCCCTGATTTTACACAACTTCCCAAACTGATTCCTGATTTCTTATCCTTAAAGTCATATTTTACTTTTGAGATCAAGCGAATGAAAACTTAGCAAAATATTTTTTTCTTAATCTTTTATTTTCTTGATTATTAATGTGTTTTGTTCATACAAGACATTTGGAAGGGTATCAATTTGAAATTGGATCTTGAGGAGGCCTATGGTAGAGCAATCTGCAGTAGTGCAGTTTACTAATTAGCTAATCCTAGTAATGTGATTAATTGGAGTTTAGCCTTTGTGGAAGGGATATATCTTTTCTCTTGACACAAGTGTTAGATCTTACTCAGTGTTACTTCTTGTTTCATCTTGATTTGAATTATGTATAATTGTAATTTAAGCAGGTCCAAGGACAGCTTACTCTGTCTTCCGGCGCGGCTTTAACCTTTGGCCTCGCACATTATGCATCATCAGCATTCGAACTAATTGCAGAAGAACTCTTGATGAGTGACTCGTTGATTAAGGTATGCTCCATTTATCTTTTTACTGTCACTATGTTTATAGAGGTTAAAGGCCATCTGAAGGCTGACAATTTGAAAGAGGAAGCCATAACCAATCAACCTAAGATGAAGAAGTTAAGCATCACTGAGCCTGCTGCAGTACTTTTGGAATTTCTCTGTTAATTGCTTATTAGTCCATTGAAGGGCTAATGATAAGATTACCTGTCAAACATACACCAAATTGCATACATGTGATGTTTTTATATGCCTGTGGTCTATAACTCTGAATTGCTGCTTCTGGACAGTGAAGGATTTGGTTCTTCTGTAGGCACTGTTCTATCTCAGCAATTGTTTGGTGTTTTACGCTAGCATATATCTTTAGGATCTTCCCAAAACAACTTTTTCTATTTTATCCTTTGGAGTAAGAGCTGTTTTTGGCCTCTCTGGTTGTTGGTTCACCAATGTTTCAAGGCAGCTTGCTTTGGTCTGAAATAGCAGAAGTGAGGAGTGCTGTATAATTTTTTAATTATTAGTTTTTATATTTTATTTCATTTTTTTTTTTATAATGACAGTTTTCTCTCTCCTTGCTCTTTTTCTCTCAAAACACAATCTCTTCTTTATTCAACTCTAATTGACAAATGTTATAGTATACCTGAGGTCCCATCACGAATCTCAATATCTATTTTTCGCCCTTTACGCTGTGAAATTGAATTTATTTGTAGTATGCTGTAAATTCCGTGTAAGGTTTTTATTTTTAAATAATTAAAAAACTGTAGTAACCTTAATTTTGATATAAAATTGACTATAGGTAGAGAGAACATCATGTTTCATGCAAGCAACAACAAGCGTTTCATTGAAGATTTGTATGTGCTAAATTAGTATGCAACATCTTGTATACATGTATGTTGCACTATGCTCATTTGTTTGCATTTTTGCAACCTGTTGCAATTTTCTAGTATTCAAAATTTTTGGTTTGTAATCATGTTGATGATTTTTCTTTCATCGTTCACTATTTGAATTTGTTCTATAGTGAGAAGTCTGATAATTTACTATGATTCTATAATTTACTCTCAGGTATATGGCGCCTTACGCATGACTGTAAAGATGCACCTCATGCTGAACTCACAAATGTTGATAGATGGCAGCGGTGATGCAATTGTGGCTACTTCTCTTCTTGAGGTCAGCAATCTACTGGTTCTCAAGGTACTTAAAAATTTACCATTTGTCATTTATTACTGTTTTACTTATCAGTTGTAGCAACTGTTGCGATTCTAGCTGAGACATAACATCCATACTGGGATTACTGGTTTGCTCATTTTTTCTGGTCTATAGGAATCGTCTGCAATACATTCTTCAGCAAATCTGGGAGTTCACGGACAAGGATTCTTGAATTTGACTGGCCCTGGAAATGTTATTGAGGCTCAACGTCTTGTCCTTTCGTTATTTTTCAGTATCTATGTGAGTTCCTTTGCTCCAATGTCATATAATCGAAATGTGGTTTGGCAGTCTCTATCATTTTTAATCTAGCATGCATTTGTATGTTTTTATTCTAATGTCTTGTTTCTCAATGAAATTAAAACAAACAAATAATAAAGGAGTCTAAAATTATGTTGACTAAATGAAATGTGTGTGAGGTTGTTTAAGTCCTGATTCGGATCTTATGATCCTATGATTCTACAATCCATAAACATGTCACCGATCCAGATCTTAAGTATGATCTTAATATTAATAGGATCTTAGGATCGATCGATCAATTAATCAAAGCTTAATACCATAAGTGGGGTCGGCTACATGAACCAAAAGTGATTATTCCGCATCGTCATCCACAAAAATCTTCCTCATCCATCCCTTACGATCAAATATCTCATTCTCATGTGAATCCATAGCTTCCTAACTCCTTCTAAATAAGTCATTAATAGGATCTTACGATCGTTACTAAAAAATAATTTTGGATGATAGGGTCATAATGCGATTCTATGATCTTGCGATCTACCGATCCGATCCTTTGTATAACAATAAATTAACATTCTGTCCTTTTTTACATGATTTCTATTACTAGTTAATTATTCACATAATGTGCTTTTATATTAATAAACTTTTGAAGTTTATTAATCATAAGATTTGTTTTCGACAATCTTGCCATACATTATCAATTACAACTTGTGTTATAGATTTGAACTGTTTGTACACTTGATAAATCTGAAGTATTAGCCTTATGTAAGCAAAACAATGTCTTTATGATTAATACTACTAAACATGCAATTTTGTATCGCACTGTAGCAGTGTTATCATTTTTTTTTTGTTATTTAGTAGAATCTTATAATTTTCCGATCCTATCCCCCTTACCAATCCAATGTTGAATCTCGATCCTAACTTCCTTGATGTGTGCATGACAATTGATGAGTGAGAAAATTAGTTATTTGCTGAACATAATTGTCGTAGTCATTACTGTCTGTGCAATTTTGTCATAATTGTTTGATAGGATATGTACGTTAAATGTAGTCCGTGGAAATGAATTACCATATGAGTCAACTCAATGATAAAATAGCTGAGGCTTGTTATTTACTTAGACTTAATCCTGGGAGTAAATTGGAATGTGGTACTAGAAAGTTGAAGTTTGGTATTATTTATGATGTTAATTATCTGGGAAAAAAAAGATTGCTTAAGTGGGCTTGAGCTCTCTAGACCTTTTTTTTTTTTTTTTTAATATATTTTTAGGCTCTCATGCTACATTGAGGACATCTTGTTCATCATTTATATGTTATCCCTTTCTGTAATAGAAGCTTGCTTGTGTATTTGACAAATGGAAATATAATTTCAAGGGGTACTGTCATTTTTTCAAGATTGTTACAATTCATTTATTTACTCAAAAACGAAGAAAATGATTAAGTAGTGAGCTGTAAGAAAAAAAATAATAGAGCACTGTAAGTATTGGAAGTTGTTAGTAATGAATAAAATAACTAGTAGTGGAATGTTGTAAGGAAAGCATAATAAATTAGTTAAATGGAGAAAGAAGTAATAAATTAATTTTGCCCATACAAAGTGAAGTGTAAAGTCGGCTAAAAAAGGAAAGTGTAACCATCTTTGGGAAACTCTAGGAGTAGTTTCTAAGATAGTAAGATGTCATAGGTGTGGGTGTTCAGTTTTCATCAAGCCTAATATCAATATTAATAGATTCATTTATTTTTCTTGAGAAACCATTTGTAATTTATTTATTAATGTTCTTAAATCATATTTGTTGTTTATGAAGGTTGGGCAAGAATCAATTTTGCGAGGTCCTTTGGTAAGGGCGAGCAATCATGATGCGTAAGCTAGTCTTCTGGCCTTTGAAACCATTCTTTAGGTTCCTCAAGATATATTTTCTGCTTACTTTGCACCTTGTGGTTTTTCCAGTTCCCCAGATCTTTATTGTGACCAGCAAGAATGCCCTGTGGAAATACTTCATCCACCTGAAGATTGTAATGTGAACTCCTCACTGCCCTTCACCTTACAGGTATAGATTAATAAGAACAATAGCTTTGCCAAGTCTGATCTAGATAAAGTGCTTTGTTTTTTTTTTTTTTTTTTTTTTTTTTTTTTTTTTTTTTTTTTTTTTTTTTTTTTTTTTCGCGCGTGTGTGTGGGGGAGGGGTGAACGGTGGAGTTACCAAAAAGGGGAGGGGGGTATGGAGACTCAACAATGACATGGAATATTGACTTTTGTTGTAGAGATTATTTTATCCATATTGGAGTGATATAATCCTTGTTTGCTCACTCTTGTCGGCACACATTCATATCCCTCTGACAAAGTTTTATAATGCAGATTTGTCGTGTTGAAGATGTTAGCATTGAAGGTGTTGTAGAAGGATCCGTTGTTCATTTCCATTGGGTCAGATCTGTGTCTGTTCCACATACGGGAATGATTAGTGCATCTGGATTGGGTATTGCTCTTAGGTCTCTACTGTTAATTTTTTTGACATGTATCACAGGGAAAGCTGCATAATTGTAAAAATAGTGTTTCTTTGTTTGTTTCTTACAAGACAAGAAGAATATTAGACAAAGAAATTAATGTGAGTTTAAGATGGATGGGAAGATAAAAAAAGGGATGTTGGTTGTAGGAAGGAAAATGTGGCATTCCTTTCAGAAGGATTTTCCACTATTGGGTAAACTATTTTCCACCTTTAGGAAAATTATTTTCCACCCTTTACGAACCAAACAACAATAGAAAATGTTTTTGATCAAAACAGAGTCTTAATTTCTTCATCTTTTTCAACCGAGTTGGTTAACTTGATGCTGTATGATTCTCATAAGGTGGGGAGGACGAGAGAACTAATTGGTTAGTCAAAGATTGTACTGTGTTTCTTTTTCCTTGAAGAATTTATAATCCCCCCCCCCTTCTTTTTTTTTTTTTTTTTTTTCTTTTCCTTTGGTTATCATGACAGATTGGTAGTTGGAATATGTATTTTAGGAGTGATGATTTCTTGCTATGTGTGTAGGCTGCATAGGAGGTGTTGGTCGAGGAAACCTTTCCAGCAATGGTCTTGGAGGGGGTGGAGGACATGGGGGCAGAGGTGGAGATGGATTTTGTGATGGGAAATTTGCTGATGGTGGTGGTGCGTACGGAGATGCTGATTTGCCATGCGAACTCGGTAGTGGTAGCGGAAACAGTAGTTTACCAGGATCAACTGCTGGTGGTGGTATCATTGGTATGCTTTACATTTTGCTTTTGAATAAATAAGAGTTACAGGCCTTACAGCCTTGTATGTATGTTTCCTTGTTCTTTTTATCTTCTTCCTTGATCTCTTTGCTTTGATAGAATTGGTGGGGTAGATTGATGTTTTATTTATCATTGCTGAAGTGTTTTGACAAAAGAAAAAGGTTTGACTTGTATATCAAGCAGAATGCTCTGTAAAGATGAGTTATTTCATTTCCATGTATGTATTGAGGATGAGAAAATATTTACCTTCATTATCCCGTCTTATGGCTAATTCTGGCAAACATGCATGACATATGTCGAGAACTACGTGCATCATCTGTTGATTCAAGCTCTTGACAGTTGTACATGTGGGACAAGTATCTTTAGTTCACCTTGTGATGTTTGAGTTGCTATCCAAGTCTTTAGTTATACTACACCTTTGCTGTTAGTCATGAAATTTCCTAAAAGAGACCGGGTCATTGAACAAGTGTCTTTGCTGTTGCTCCTCTGGTAGATTCCATGTATCTGTAATATCTACAACACTTTAATGATAGATGTTTCATGTTTGTTTCCTGTTTTTGTCATTCTCAATTACAGTGCTAAGTAGACATTCAAAAATCATCTTAATGCATCTCTGAGGATGGGTAAAGGACACCCCTGCCCCTTGTGCTTTTGCGCAAATCATTGATGTAATTTTTAATTGTACTTGCATTCTGCCTATCTTGTGGTATCCCTCTTAACTTATTATGTAGAATAATTATCTGGTGGTGGAAGTACAACTTTACAATGCTTGGTTTTTGAGATATGGAAGTTAATTGTGCTTGATTTTTCTCGGAAGTGGCTTCTACATCTATACAATATGCGTTTGATTTTGGCCTGAAGTATGATTTTTTTTTGGGGGTAAAACTATAACTTCTGAATTTCTATATTCCCAGAACTGGAACAATATGGCTATCATTAGAATGGAGCCAACCCTATCAAGTTGTGGTTTACATATAGTTGACCCCGCGCTCTCCAATTTTCTTTGGTGGAGAATTAAGTTGGACATTCTGGCTTATTGTAGTTTCTAGCAACTTCGAATAAGCATTTGTTGGGAAGAAACTTGCATTTGTCTCCCAACAAAAAATACTTACACTTGTTCCATGTCAGAGTTTGTAAACGTTCACTCTCTTGGAGCATCTTTTAGATGTTTGTGCCCCCTTTCAAAGTTTCAGCTCTAGGTATGGTGGAATCTAAAATATTAATCAGATTTCAGATAAAATATCCATGTTATCTTCTGATTTTCTACTGTACATCTCAACTGGAAACATATCTCTTCTTTTATCTTGGTTGTAGTATTATCAGATGTACCCTTTCTTACCTTCTAGGTTTGTTATTTTATATGCTGAAAATTAGAGATTACATTTTCTTTCTAGGATTCTCATTACCCTCTAAATAATGTATATTTATTTACTTTTTTGAAATACTTTTTTTCATCATGATCAGTGATGGGGTCCCTGGAGCACTCTTTGCCAAGTATGATTATTGAGGGTTCATTAATTGCTGATGGGCAGAGTTGTGAAGAAGGTATAACAAAGCAAAGAGGTGCAATGTATGCAAGTAATGGCCCAGGTGGTGGTTCTGGTGGAACCATTCTTGTATTTGTTCAAACATTGCATCTTGGGAATTATTCTGCTGTTTCAGCTGTTGGAGGAAATGGTAGCCCAAATGGTGGTGGTGGTGGCGGTGGAGGAAGGGTTCATTTTCATTGGTCAGACATTCCAGTTGCAGATAAGTACCAGCCCATTGCTAGTGTGAGTGGCAGAATCCTTGTTCGGTTAGTATCCAGCTGTCAACTATTGGGTTTTTTTTAATACATTATATCTATTCTAGTATATATTGCTCACTGATGTCATGCACTAATACTTGGTATGTGGTATCTGTGGTTGTTACATTCCTGTTTGGATGTCTGGTTAGTTTTCCCTTTATGCTCTTATATCAAGGCATGCTTAGAATGAGTGCAATTCATGGTATGAAATTTGTCAAACAAGTTTCTTTAAGAAAAAGTAAAAGTGTGTGGATAAAATGAACTAGAAGAGATTGCAATAGTTGGAGACAGGAGTCCTCCAAAGAATCTTTGAAGAATAAAAATGCAATAGAAAAAGTCTCGTCCTGCTTTACATCATAATAGAGCAACCCAAGAACCCCATGAAGGAAAGCGAGGGCCAAGGTGCACTAGTCTATCATAGTGACCTATATTGGCCATATATCTATTTTCTAAAGTTTTCTTTGCTCTGGAGCCAATAACATACTAGGGAATAATTCTAAGACTATAATTAGGGGATTAATTATTTCTCTTCATATGTTTGTCATGAAAAAATTGTACTTATTGGTGTAACTCTCCTTATTCTATAAACATGCAAACCACCTATTTGAAACATTTATTTTATTTTATTTTTCTTGAATAGGTTGAAAAATCCAACCACTGCCCCTCCCCCCCCCCCCCCACCTCAAAAAAAAAGCTCTCCTTTCTCTCTTCGTGTCTCTTCTTCCCCATTTAATCTGCACCATCAGAACCTTACTGAGGTTGAATTTGGCTATAAGGGTTGATGATCACCCTGAGATGAGACATAAGGAGGTCTAGTCAAGTCATGGTGAGCCTTGAGAGTGTTTTATGTATGTTATGTCTGTGGTGTGTTATTGCTCAAGGGAGCAGCCTTGCCATCGGGAAGGGATAACTATAAGGTTGCATTAGTGAGGTCTGGGGGATTGTGCATTTGGTTAACGTTGGTTTAGTTAGGTTCATAATTCAGTTATGCTTTTTTAAAATTAATTGTTGTTCTGGTGGTCATTTCAGTGTTTGTATGTAATAAGTTATTGGCTTCTTAATACAGAGGCGGTCCGGGCAAAAGTGAAGGGTATCCTGGTGAAGAAGGAACTGTCACTGGAAAGGCATGCCCAATTGGGCTCCATGGAATCTTTTGTGAGGTAAATTTACTGTTTTCTTGTTGATTACCAGAAGGTTGTCTGTTTCATTTTATATCATGGAATCTGTCATGGCGAGAAGAATTTAATAAGATGAGTGTATCTCATTCTAGTGTTTTTGTCTCGTGATCTTTTATGTGTGTCAATTTCATTCCCTATATGTCCTTTAGAAAATTAGAATATCTAACTAACTTGAGTCAGCTAAGTGTCATCTAGTTACAACTGTTGTTAGCTTTGAGAGGATGCAGGCTGCGATATTTGTGTCAGCTTTTTCTTGCTCATTGCCTGCCATTAGTTGTTTGAAAATACTTTCAGATGTGTTTGATACTGTGATGATTGCATCTTAGACAATTTTATTTTACTGTATCACAGGAATGTCCTATTGGCACATTCAAAAATGTCACCGGGTCTGATCCGACCCTCTGTCGTAGTTGCCCAGCTTATGAGCTTCCAGATCGTGGCATGTATACCCATCAACGAGGTATCACATATTTTCATCGTTTTTAACTTTGCAAGTATGGTGCTATGTTATTTATCACCTGTTTTTTTATGAATACTTTCCTTATAACTCGTTGTGCCCTTGAGAATTGATATCTCAGATTGTATTTATTTACAATGCTGTATAATTGATTTTTAGTGCCTCATGACCTCAGAGATCATTAGATTTTGGGTGAAGCTGGTAACTTTTTTTTTCCTTTTCTCTGGCTCTATATTCTTTACAGGTGGTGTTACTGAAACTCCTTGTCCTTACAAGTGTATATCTGATAGATATCACATGCCACACTGCCGCACAACATTGGAAGAGTTAGTGTACACGTTTGGTGGGCCGTGGTGGTTTTGTTTTTTCCTTCTTAGTATCCTCATCCTGTTGGCTTTAGTTCTTAGTGTTGCGCGGATGAAATTTGCTTCCGGGGATGATATTCCAGGTTTATTACCCCATCGAGGACGTACTCAACTAGACCATTCCTTTCCTTTCCTTGAGTCCTTGAATGAGGTCGACATCTATTTCTTGGCTCTTATATGTCTTACCAAAGCTTCTGCTTCTGCTCCTAATCCTTTCCTCTTGAATACACTTGTAACTTCACCTTTATTATGTGTTTGTGACAAGTGTTAAGTGTCTTTGTGTTCCAGGTGTTGGAGACAAATAGAAATGAGGAAGCACAGAGCCATGTTCATAGAATGTATTTCCTGGGCCCGAATACATTTAGTGAGCCATGGCATCTACCTCACTCTCCTCCAGATCAAGTGAAAGAGATAGTGTAGGTTTCCATTGATTCTTGTCGTGGCATACATCTATTTACTTGAGATACTAGCTAGTTTTATATCGTATGAGCATGATAACTCCTATTTACCATCTGATAGAGACTTTAGCACATGTGACTTTATCAGAGTTCAATGGTGCAAACTTTTTGGTTGGGTTTAGAAGAGATAGCAAGATGATGAAGTGGGTATGCTATATTTTTGTAAATGTTTTTTTGGCAAAAAAAAAAAAAAGAAGAAGAATTGAACCCAACTAAAAATGCTCTGTTTGTTCTTTCAAAAAAAAAAAAAACCCTGCTTGTGTATCAGCATGAATGCGTTAAGCTGCAACTTTGTTTTAATCTGTGAGAATTGTCCAAATTGCAGGTATGAGGATGCATTTATCCGCTTTGTTGATGAGATAAATGGAGTTGCTTCTTATCAGTGGTGGGAAGGATCGGTGCACAGCATTCTTTCTGTTCTAGCATATCCACTGGCATGGTCATGGCTGCAGTGGTGTCGAAAAAAGAAGCTACAGCGACTACGTGAATTTGTGCGTTCAGAGTATGATCACTCCTGTTTACGTTCGTGTCGCTCTCGCGCTCTTTATGAAGGGCTGAAGGTTTTTTTTTTTTAACCTCCTTTCAGTTCTCCATAGCAATTTGGACTCTGCTTGGGTTTGTCCTCCATGTATGCTGGGCCGGTTTGGGTATCTTTTATTTGGTGATGGAAAAACGAAAGTATTCAGAGATTAACAATTCAATGTTATTTTCCCCACATTTTAAAGATGTATTTATGAATATGAATTGTGTTGATGTTTCATTGTTTTTTTTTTTATTAATGATAAGTGTTACATATAATGTGCGCACTTGGGAAGACCAATTCACTTATCAGTAGTTTGATTTAGGTTATCTGGCCTGATTTGACTTGGTTTACTGTTCCAGTTATCTGCTACTTCAGACTTGATGCTTGCATACCTAGACTTCTACCTGGGTGGAGATGAAAAACGATCTGACCTTCCTCCTCGTCTAAACCAGCGTTTACCTTTGACATTGATATTTGGAGGCGATGGAAGTTATATGGCTCCATTCTCTCTTCACAATGATAATGTTTTAACTAGCCTTATAAATCAGGTAAATACTATTTTTGCTTGAATTCAGTGTAGACTTGTGAGATTGTGAACTTTTGATTGAGTACTGTTTGCCCTTTTGTTGCTCTGTTGCAGTCTATGCCACCCACAGTTTGGTATCGACTTGTAGCTGGTCTCAATGCTCAATTGCGTCTTGTTCGCCGTGGACAACTGAAGTCAACCTTTGAACCTTTTGTCAACTGGCTTGAAACCGTAGGGAACCCTGTCACTAGCATCCATGGCTTGAGAGTTGATCTGGCATGGTTTCAGCCAACTACTATTGGCTATTCTCAGTTTGGTCTTGTGGTGTGTCGAGCAAGAAATCTCCAGCCATCTGGTGGTAATATCGACAGGGTCCTTCCTCCGAAGCCACCATCAAGGTAAAATGCTGAATGCAGAACTGATTTATGCCAGATGCTTACTTGCGTTGAAATGCACGTATGCTCTATTACCACTTTCTTCAGACCTTTCACTTTTATACTTTGACACATATCTCAACCCCCCCCCCCCCCCCCAAACCCACCCCCTTGCTGAAAAGGGGGAAATATGGAATTAGGTTTAGTATTGTTTTGTTTTGGATATAGTCTAGTAGTAGCGAAATGCTGGGCTGCTGGAGTTTGGCATTACCTTCATCTTGTGTACTCCTTTATCTCCTGCTTAGTTTAATGACTAGTAGCAGGTACAGTTTTAGGTAATTAATGGAATGATGGCAATGACCCATACCTGCTTCTAGATGTTGGATAAAAATTAAATCCCACAGCCTGCATTTCCAAGAAATCTCTCTGTTGGTAATTTTATTAGGTGAGTTTTAATGACTCGATATGGTGGAATATGTATTTCAATTTTATGTAGGGGGTGATAATGATGGGATATTGATAGGTACGGTGGTGCCGGCTAACGACAACACTGGGTCAATGGAGTAGGGTACTGATGGTCCAAGTGTGAAGATGAATCAGTCAAATATAATATGAACTATTTTAACCCTGATTCCAAAGATGGTGGCTTTTTCTCTAATCCACTGACCACTATCCTCTTCAATTTTTAGGTTATAGGTTTTGGCTACCGACAACACTGGGTCAATGGAGTAGGGTACTGATGGTCCAAGTGTGAAGATGAATCAGTCAAATATAATATGAACTATTTTAACCCTGATTCCAAAGATGGCGGCTTTTTCTCTAATCCACTAACCACTATCCTCTTCGATTTTTAGGTTATAGGTTTTGAGGGGATTTGTGGCATGGGTTTTGAAATGCCTTTTTTTTTTGGCTATTATACAAGTATGAGTTTGTTGATTCTAATCTCATACTTATTTTTTGATGTGGGTGAACCAAACTTCCCCTTCGATCATATAGAAAAGATAAGTTCTCCTAGTTGAAAGTAATGGAAATACGGTCAGGGATGTTAAAGGTCTAAATCTAGAAATGGCTATAATGGGAGTAAGAACAAGAATACCACACCTGCAAAATCCTCCTGGGACAGGATAATTCTATTTATAGTACAGTTCAGGTTATTATTTGGTCAATTATGTAGGACAATGTAGGTTATTGCTAGCAATCTTCCTTTTGAATTTATATCATGCACTTGGGATCAAGATTAATGATGCACACTGTGCTCCTGAATGAACAAATAGTTCTGAGATTTTAAATATATAGTTGAAAGATTGTTAACTATATGCGATGTTCATAATGTTGAACTATATGCTTGTAATTTTTGCTTTGAACATACTTATCATATTCTTTATTATGAATAGTAGCTCGAAGATTTTGATTTTTTTTATGACTACCATAATATTTTAATGATTATATAGTTCATAATTGATATATTTTTTCTAATTAATTAATTATATTAATTTATTAATGCTATCAAATATTATTATCAACATTTTTTTGATTTATCAAATTTTTAATTTCATTTATGTTATTTTTATTCTTATTTTATAATTTCTCAAAATATATTTATTTTATTTGGATTAAAATATTCAAAATTTATATTTACATTGTAGATATTATGACTAACTGTGGACATTTTATAACGTGAAAAAAAAAAACCGATCATATTATATATCATTAAAATAATATGGTAGTCATTTTTCAAATGACCGCTGTAAAATCATTATATTTTTATAATTTTGAACTACAAATTTGCGATCTTTGAACTATATGTTCATGATATATGTTCATAATATTTGTAACTATTTAAACATATGTTCAGTCCACGAACAAAATGCTTGTAATTTTGGACTTTTTGTTCATTCGGGGCCATGAGTGCATCTTGATCCATGTGCAGGATATAATTTCCGTTTTATATAAGAAGTGTGGAAAAAAAAAAAAAAAAAAAACCCTGCCGATCTTTTGTGGACCAGCCAAATTATGTTTTCTTATGAATTATAATTAAGGGTGTACCAACTGAAAAAAGGTTAATCCATGTCCTTGGTTATGTGTCTACCCTCTATTTCTCTCCTATTGTATGTGACTATGTGGTGTATGTGTTAAAACTATTTGTTTAATGTATGTAAGAGTTTGTTTTATTGATTTTCTTTCACATATGCAGGGTTCATAAAGATGATCAAGTGGACCACTTGAAAGACTCTGAACTCCAGATGGTAGATAGAAAAATTCCTGGATATATTCTTCAAGAAAAGAGCTTGCACATGCTTAAAAATAGTTGGAACATTTCTTGTCTTTTCAACTTTTTAGCATGTAATACCAAGCCCGCTGGTCATCAGGTAATTCAATTTCTTAGTAAGTATCGTGAATCCAATAATTATTGCCGTAGCTTTTTTTACACAGCTCTTTCATGTGGTGCGATTGCAGGATCTAATTGGTCTCGCCCTCTCAACACTATTGCTAGCAGATTTTAGCTTGGTAGTGCTCACGCTGATTCAGCTATATTCTATTTCACTTCTGGACTTCTTTATGGTTCTTTTTGTCCTTCCTCTTGGAATATTACTTCCATTTCCCGCTGGGATAAATGCTTTGTTCAGCAGAGGACCTAGGAAAACTGCTGGTCTTGCACGCATTCATGCTCTTTGGAACATCACTTCTTTTATCAATGTGGTAAGTCTCAACTTTTACAATATGGTTATAATTCACATTATAGAAAATTATATTTTGTGCTCTGGTCAAGTACATCTACTCTGAATGTGGTTTAATTTCTAAGCAATGTCAAAAACATTAGTCAATGTTTTTTATAAAGGGATTTTCTTTTTGCCACATACTGTATGTACTTGATCACTGAATCTTTTTTTTCACGTTTCTCTTGTCTTGCTTATTATATGAAATCTCTTATGTGTGCACATACTGAGAAACATGTTGAAGCTTAGAGGTTACATTAATTTGTCTGTGACAGTTCACTGCTTTAATTTGCGGGCTTGTTCATTATAAGATTCAACCGAGCAAGAAACCTGGGGACGTCCATTCTTGGAATTTTAGCAGGCAAGGGTAAATTATACTTCGTATATTTGTCATTATTAGTATTATACTTCAGTCATTGTGGTTCACTTTTGTCTTATCATTTTTAACTATATTTTGACTGCAGGCAAGAAAGCGAATGGTGGGTGCTGCCTTCAGGTTTAATTTTGTGCAAGCTTTTTCAAGCCCGACTTATCGATTACCATGTCGCAAACCAGGAGATTCAGGATCTAACATTATACAGCAAGGACCCTGACCAGTTTTGGCAGTCATGATTTTTTTTGTACTGTCGAGGATAATTGGAACCGAGGTCTTTATAATTTTCTTACATTTTTACCGTTCACATTTTGTAAATTGTGATAAGGCTTTAATTTAGAATAGTAGTGAGAAATGTATATTGCCCCTTTGTGTGGGGTTGCCGGATGGGGGGAGGACTCATTTGTAGCAGCTAATTTTTTCTTGTCAATATGCTGTAAATAACATCATCAATGGTTAAAGTTTGAAAGATACATGCATAGCAAGTGCATTTATAAGTGATGAGTCAAATGTTCCGTAAACAGCCCTATATACTCGGATTACTCGCATTCGGCCGTTTCCTCATGAAGGAGTGTTTGCAAGTATTAGAAAACAGAGGTGTTATAACAGATGGAGAACACAAAGGAGAGAAACCCAGAAGCCTGCAAACCAGAGTCAGATTCCCCTTTGCTTTCTTTATCAATGTAGGACAAACTTCCAAGATGGGGAAGAACGCAAGGGAGAGAAACCCAAAAACCAACAAATCAAAGCTCACAATGAGATTTCATCCTAAAATCAATTCGTAATAGGAGTAGTAGTCCGCTTGGGTTATAAATTGACAGCCCTCGGATAAACTTTACTCACACTTGCACTTATAAGAGAATATATATATATAAATATATATATATATATATATATATATATATATATATATATATATATATATATATAATAGCGATAATGTAAGACACCGAGACAGTAAGGCCCCGTTTGGTTTAATGTAAAACATTTTCAATGGAAAATTAGTTTTCATGGAAAACATATTTTCAAAGAAAAACACAATTGCAAATTAGTTTTCCTTTGTTTGGTTGCATACAAGAAAAGTCCAAGAAAAATAAAAAAATTAAAGTGGAAATGTAAGGATGAATGAGAGGGAAGTAAAAAGAGAGGTAAGGAGGAGAGAGGAAAATGTGGCTTCCCTTGTTTTTAGAAGGAAAATGTTTTCCATCATTAAGGTTGGAATTTTCCACCATTAAAAAATTGTTTTCCACTCCTTAACAAACCAAACATAGAAAAATGGGAAAAAAATGAAAAATTCATTTTCCATGAAAACCTTTTACATCAAACCAAACAAGGCCTAAGTTCGACTAATCCTACAAACAATAATTTTTGAAAGTGTTAGAAAAGTAAAGCAACAACTATAGTAAACTTTATCCTTTCGGCTAATGGTTGCTTCACAAGTTATCAACTCAAACACTAAGCTTAGCTATCAATTAACTACTGTGAAAAGATAATGTAATTTATACGATGTATGTGAATATAATTTTTCATGAAGGTTAAATATAAACTCTTGTATTAGAATATGCTATAATTGGGTGGTGGATCCCAAATTCCCAACTTTATATGAAGATTTTTTGATTGGGATGTTATTTTATTTTATGATTCTAAATATTTCTCATACATTAAAATTACTCCGAATAATCCAAACCATTCAAAGAAAAAAAAAATCCAAAATTTTGGGCGGTTGGTAGTGACTCAATGCCTACAACAATCTTTGTCAACTTGGTTGAATTTGTGACTATATTTTTTTATCATATCTAAATATCTACGCAATGCTGACTCAGGCTTCTATACTACATTACATTTTTATTTTCCACCTACTTATATTTCAACCAATCATGCCTTTTCTAGTCTATTAATTAGCGCGTGGAATAAAAATAATGATATTCTTATTTACATATTACCACTCCTTAAGAATTTGTTATATAAAATGAAAAACAATCATTAAAATAAAAACAAATACTCATGGATGTATAGTACACTCGGGTGTATATAACAATCTCTCCCATTCCTTAATTAATATGGTATGGTACGTGTCATACGATTATTTATTAATATAAAGATTACAAAAATATTTAGCAGTAAATGATATGTATTGCCATTTATTGAATTAGTGAGTACACCGTTAATGATATTTTACATTCTAAAATAAATTGCAGGATAACAAATTTTATATTAGAAAGATCAAGATAAATCAAACAGCCAATTAAAAAATAGGATAGAAGATTTTATTTGGAACAAACTAGGTAAAATATCAATTTTGATCTTAAATAAAGGATTAGATATTAGTTTTGATCTTAAATAAAGGATTAAATATTAGTTTTGATCTTAAATAAAAAATAAGATATCACTAAAAATGGGACATATGATTTTAATTCGAAAATAAACCAAGTGGGATTATAATACCAATTGGTTGTTGGTGTAGTGGTGATTGAAACTACACTTGGTAGGGGAACCCGTGTTCAATCCTCCGCAACAACAATTGGAAGGGAACTGGAATCTAACCACCCAGAATTGATCCGAATTCGAATTAGCCCAAAGGGTGTACCGGTTAGAACACCCAAAAATATATTATATAATCCCAAAAACGTACGCGCTTGTGTGGCATGTGGATAAAGCCAGTGCATGCTGCGTTGGTGATGACAGCTTGTTGGAAACTTCAATCCATAAAACTAAAGAGGCTAAAGAAGATTCAAAAACATGCTATTTGTTATTAAGGACAATCTAACTCTTGAAATTTTTATCAAGGACACAATTTGTACGTTACTTATAGTAATAAATCTACAATATCCAAAATCTTCAAATTTTCAAGCAAGGACTTACTATGTCTCTATATTTGTAACAAGGACTCCACTTTCACTATAAATATCATAACCCTAATCATATGTAACATATCCATTTTCCATTAACTTTTTGTGTATTCCTCTTTCATTCAATCCAATTTTTAATTTGTCTTTTGTTCTTCAAAATTTTCTTTGATTCTTCTTTGGTGTTCGCTTCATTATCAAATATGACTGTAATTGTCGAGGAGCCTGTTTTTGGTACGTTAAATTTTACATTTGGTCCTTTTTTACCCTTTCTCTCTCTCTCTCTCTCTTTTTTTAAAAAAAAAATTGTTCAACTTTTGTGAGATCCTCTCTTTTGAAAGTATCGGACACAACAAAAGTTAGCTAATTCTGTTAAATTGAATTTCGTATGCATCATTATCACTTTTTAACTCTCTTCAACCTTCAAAACCACGCACTATATTAAAATTATTTGTCGGTCTTTGACCCTTCATTATTATAGGGGACATAAGGTCAGGATAAATTTAGTTTCATGAAATTCATCTATAATTCAGAAAATTATTAAATCCTTGCGTCATTCACAACTATCATAATTTTTGCTCTTTAGAATTTTGGTATTCCTACTAGTTACATTTGGCTGTATTTCGAGTGTTTTTCATAAATATATAGCACACTCAAATGCCTAAGATTTGAGATTTCAGCCTTTCAAATAGATACTTATATATAGTTTATTAACAATTTGGCCTAATACACCAAATCTCCACTTGTTAAATTGACATTTGTTTTGTATTTTTCGCACCGGCCACTATTATGTCTTATGTAACAAAAAAAGAAATGCGAATGACTAAAACATACTCCTGTCATCAACCAAATACGCACACAAAGATATATTTAATATTATTACAGTATTAAATTGAAAACGACATAAAATATATACCAGAGAAACAAAAAAGAACGAAGAGAGTAGTAAATATCATTCGATTGTTGGTTAAATTTATAAAATGATTAACTTGTTGTGTTAGACCTTATATCTTATTTCTATCTTTTTTGTTTACTTATTTTTTTATTTGCAATAGGAATCGATGAAAACATCAAAAACTTTAACAAGGATACCAATGAATTGGTGTTGGATGCTGGATTTAGAATGCCCGAATCCAAATTGGTTTCAGAAAACGGATTTTCGACACCCGAAACCAATGCCTTTGGCAACACTTTCAGGTCTTATTTCCTATCTGTTTTTATTAATCAAATTATTACGATCAATAATCATTTTAATAATAATTGAGTCATGTTTTAACGTTGTTTATATACAGAGACTATGACGCAGAAAGTGAAAGGAGAAATGCTGTTGAAGAATTCTACAAGCAAAACCATATACACCAAACAGTTGACTTTGTAAGACAATTTAATTCCCTCTTTCTTGTGTCAAAAAATAAAATTACAAAAGAAATCCCTTCTTTCGGCTTTTGGATATATTGTTATATACACCGGGTGTACAATTGTACGGTACACTTGTTTGTATATAACAAGGCATAAATCACAAACATTAGTCTAGGACAAATAAATAGTGCAAAAAATAAAAATGGAGCTAGTATTTAAAACGGAGTGAGTAAATCAAATGTTTATAGTATAAAAAAAAATTGAAAATTTTAAAGAAAATATGTATAAATTAATAATCAAATATATGGATTGTAGGTGAAAAAAATGAGGGAGGAATATAGTAAATTGGACAAGGTGGAAATGAGCATATGGGAGTGTTGTGAACTTTTAAACACAGTTGTGGACGAAAGTGACCCTGACTTGGATGAACCTCAAATTGAGCATTTGCTCCAAACTGCTGAAGCTATTAGGAAGGACTACCCTGATGAAGATTGGCTTCACTTGACTGCCCTTATTCACGGTACGCTAACTTAATTGTACTTTCATATTAATTTACATACATCACGTCTATTATACACCCGGATTTAATTATTAGCAACACGTATGCGTATAAGACGTGTACACATACATGTGGTACGTTGAGGCAAGTAGTGCACACACTTGGACACGTGTATTATTATTATTACATTGTCCTCACGTACATACATGTTTGAGGCACGTGTTGTATTGAGTGTACGTGTCATAAAACGTTAAACGACTCAAGTGTACAATAGAAATTGCGTCACTGAATTGATATCTTAATAAAATTGATGTTTATGTTTTCTTAGATCTTGGAAAAGTTCTTGTTCATCCTAGCTTTGGAGAACTTCCTCAATGGGCAGTTGTCGGCGACACGTTCCCGGTTGGATGTGCGTTTGATGAATCCATTGTTCACCACAAGGTTAATTTTAGCTAAATAATCAATCAAATTGATATTAATTTGTCAATACACATAATTATATACACTAACACATTTTTAAACTCGTAATTGAACAGTATTTCGGGTTAAACCCCGATCATCACAACCCTGCTTATAACACCAAGTGTGGTATTTACTCTGAAGGATGTGGTTTAGACAATGTTCTGGTTTCTTGGGGACATGATGATTATATGTACCTGGTAATTACTATTTTCATTTTAATTACAAAGTTAAATTTTAATTATAATACTAATTGATAAAATAGTCTAATTAATATAACTATAATATATATATAATTTTATTTGTAGGTTGCTAAAGAAAATGGTACAACTCTTCCT